AAAAAAAAAAAAAAAAAAAAAAATTTAATTTTAAGAAAATTCATAAAAATAAAAACATGGAATATAAATATTGTACAAATTTCTATGATACAATAGCTATAAGATATGAAAAAAAAAAAAAAAGAAAAAAATTTTGGTTAAATTATACTATATTATTTTATTTTTATATTCTATGAAAAAAATTATACTTATTTGACATTATATTTTTAAAATAATTAAAAAAAATATGCCAAATATTTGTAATTAATTTTTTTCATTTTTATTTTATATATATATATATATATATATATTTATATTTTTAAATATAAATATATAAAATATTATATGGTAAATTTTTTTTTTTTAATCTCTTATAATAATTGTCATTTTTTATTCTTAATGTTTAAAAATATATATATATATATACGAAATGAAAGAAAAAAATAACAATAATATTAAAGAAAAAAGAATAAAAAAACAGATGCAAAAAAAGACTAAAATAAATAATAACAAGGAAAATATAAACATGGCATTATTATCAACTAACTTAAAAAATATTGAAATGAATTTAGAAGATAAAATTATAGATGAAGACTTATTAACACCAAGAGCCTTTGATAGAACAAAAAAAAGTATGGGCATTCAAAATTTAATAATGAGCATAGATGAGAATAGTAATGAACCTAAAAATGAAACTAGTGAAAAAGATGATATTATTATAGATTCTAAATCAAATGGAAATATAGATGAATTAAATAATTTAAATAATGAAAAAATAAATTGTGATAGTATAAATATTGATAATAAAAATAATGAAGGAATAAAAGATAAGTGTGTTAATAATGGATATATAAGTTACGAAGATTCTAATTTTAGTAATGTATTGAAGCAAAACGGTTCTTCATTTATGAATAATGGATGGCAAACTCCAAAAAAAAGCAACGTAGGATTATATTATACAGGGATAGATAATCCATCTACCCTAAAAAAATATAAAACTCCATGTGAAATGGATATGATTCAACCTGATGAAAGCTTGATTGGTAATAAATGTATAACTATTAATAATTATGTTAATCCTCCTAAATATATAAATAATGTAATAACTCCAAGTAAATTTCCTTTATCTGGAGAAAATAATATTTTTGTATCTTATGAAGATTTTAAATCCCTTTTTAAACATAAAGTTTGTTTGACTAGTGAACATGAATTTAACAATAATAACTCATCGATTCAAAATGAAAATTATGAAGGAATAAATTTGAACTACGAAAATAATGCATGGCCAAATAAAAAGGAGGAATTTAATTCCATAAAAAAAATAAAGAAAATTTATAATAGTAGTAACTGTTCCCCAAAAAATAAAAAAAAGAAAAATGATTTCATTAAAGTGAGTACGAAAAGGCTTTTGGACGAATTAGGTGAAGCTCATAAAAATAAAGTTAATAATCAGAATAATATTGAAACTTCTAAAAAAATTAGGAGTGACAACAGCCAAGAAAAAGAAGAGGATAGTACAATTGTCAGTTTAATTGATTACGAAATCAAACCTGTAATTAGGAGTGAAAAACATAAGGAAGAAAAAGAATTCAAATCAATGGAATTACTATCTAAAGAGAAACAAAATCCATTAAGTCCTATATATGAAGCTTACTCTATAGATTTAGATGAATTATTTAAAGATGAAACATTTAAAACTCCCATTAATTTATTGATGATTTATCAATATTTATTAATTGTTATATCAAGACGAAATCAAAAAAATCAACCTGTTTTTTATCAGCTAATTAAAAAAGAAATGTCCTATTTAACTCCATATAGTTCCTTCAATGAAGAGTCGTTAAAACAATTAGCATGGATTGCTCCTAGTTTAATTCAACTAAATAAAGTAATTGTTACAAAAGAAATTCTTGAAGCTAATCAACAATCTTATCCTGATTATATAACTGGAAAAAAAATAGAAGATATACAAATAAGGGAACATAGTGAAAGTTGTGAAAATATATATAAATATTCGGCAAATGATAAAATTGAAATGCTAAAAAGAATTCTTATTAATTGGGCAAATATAAAACACAGTGAATTATTAAAAAAATTAAATCCAAATTTTTATATTCCAAAATATTTTCAATTAAAAAAATGGCATTCGAAATTTGATTTTAAAGAAATTATATTCCCAACAGTTACATTAGAAGAAAACAAAATGCTTGCTCAATTATCTCATACACCTCAAGAAAGTAATGCAGATGATTTTATAGTAATTCAAGATAGCCCAATAAAATGTGTTACAAATGATTTAAGAAAGAATGGAACATTTCTGGAAGATATAGAAAAAGAGAGGACTAGAACTCCATTGGGAAAAAATAAAAGAAAATCAAATTTTTTAGGATCTTTTACAAATGTGTGCAATCAAGATTCTCCCAAAAAAAAAGAAACTAAAAATATGAAACAAATTAGAGAAGAAGCTAATAAAAAAAAAATTATTAAAGAAATTAAAATAGAATTCGATAAAGAACATGAAATGTTATTAGATGAGAAAAAAAAATTGGAAAATGCAAAATGGATTGCTGAAATAATTCATGATATATTTATTGTTGAAGGAACTCAAACAGTTATGGAATTAAACACTTTTTCAAAAAAAGTAGCAGATAAATATAAAAGTAATAAAAATTTTCAGATGGATGAAATAAAAATCAGTGAATTGATAGAACTATTATCAGAACACATAACTGATATAAATATAAAACCTAGTATGATGGATAAAAATAAAAGGAATATATCAGTCAAATCAAAGAAAAATCTTTACAACTTTTTAGAGCCTATTTCCAAAAAGATTAATGAAATTTCGAAAAAGTACCAAGAATTAAAAAATAATAAAGAAAATAGATTAAATGAGCTTTGGACAAAGCATAATGTAAAATATGAACTTTCTGAAAATATTAAAAGATATTTTTTAAACCCAGGATCTATTTCTATATCTGATTTATAATTTTTTTTTAAAAGTAAAAAATTTTATAACACTTTTTGTAGTATGGAAAAAATTTTTGAAGAATTCCTAAAGTAGTATGATAACAATAAATAAGTTTATATATGCAAGCTTTAAATATATATTCAGTACCTTACATTTTATATAATCTTTTTTTTTTTTTTTTTCTTTTTTTTTTTTTTAAATTAATATTTTAAAAAAAAAAAAAAAAAAAAAAAAAAAAATATTGATATTTTCTTATTATTTTTTATAAAATTTATGACTATTTGTTAAACCTTACTATTTTATGTAATGATTTATATATACTAATATGTATATTTCTACGAATACAAATTTTCTATACTATTTATTCCATAATAAATGATTATTTATTTAAATATTTATTTATATAATTTAATTTTTTTTTTTTTTTTTTTTTTTCATTTGCAACCACTAAGTGCATTTGAAGAAATTTATTATTAATTTACTTTTCTTTTATTTGCAAATAAATGTTGCATAAGGAAATCTGTTTATTAATTTTTTTAATTTTCTCTAATTTATTTAAAATATTATTTTTTTTTTTTTTTATATTATAAATTATTATATTTTAATAAGAATCAATAGGAAAATTTTTTCTTTTGATCTATATATTAGACGTATGTATACATAAAAAAATATTAATGTTTTTTTTTTCATAGTTTTTAGTATTTATTTTAAACTTTTTTTTTTTTTTTTTTATAAATTTTTTAATAGATTCTTCTTTATATAGATTATGAGATGGAATATATGTATTTAATTGACCTAGCACATTCCTATAAATATATTTTAAAAACATAAAAATAAAATATATATATATATATATATTTTGAATTTTTATGTGATACTTTTTTTATTTAGTGTTATTTATTTTTACACTTTAAAAGCAAAATATTTTTCACTACAGATTACAGTTGAGTGGTATTAATTTTTTTTTTTTTTTTATTTTATCATTGAATAATTATTTAGAAATCTTTTTTTTTTATTCTTAATAATAAGTAGTAAAAAAAAAAAAAATAATACATAAATAAGAAAAGTTTTAGTTAAAGTATATAATTTGGATACACACATTAATATAAAAACGTTACAATTTAATATATAATTTGTGCTCCACTTTTTTAATATTTTTAATAGTACGCTTTTATTTTTTTGAACTCTTAAAATCTTATAAACATATATTTACTTTTCATTTTAACTACTTTTACAAAGTTATTTTTATAAATACCTTTTTTTATTATTTGTATTTCTGATTAACTTATAAAACTATATATTTTAAAAAATGAATTACTACAGAAAAGAACATATATTTATATTTACGAATAAATATGTGTTGGATAAGTGTTTAAAAACTGTTAATAGTACCATTAAAAAGAATAATGAAAAATTACAAAACATTTATATAAATAATTCGTTCTTCTTATATTGTATAAAAAACAAAAAAATTTTATTCAGTTTTCACAAATTAATGAGTTTTGCACTCTATGAAATTTAACAAAATAAATGATTCCTTTTAAAAATAAGCATATGCTTAAATTAATAAACAAAATTTAATTACAGATAAGGATACTTATAACTATATGTAAAACACTCAATTCACATTACAAAACAAAAAAAAACTATAACAAAAATTAAAGATAAAAAAAAAAAAAATGAAAAAAAGTAATTTATTATAAAATTTAAAAGAATTTAATGTAAAAATAAAGTTATATTGAACTTTCGAAAGCATAGGAATGAATTTATTTAATTTTAATTTATTTCACATATCTAATAATAAAAGAAAGTTACAAATATTAATAACATTAAAATTAATTTGGCTCAATATATTTAAACGCATATATACCTTTTTTTTTTTTTTTTTTTTTTTTTTTTTTTTTTTTTTTAATGAAAAAGATGTTAATCTAATAATATTCTACTCTTTCTTTGCATAGAAACTATAAGTCTTCCAGAAAAAGAAGTCAAAGTTTGTAAATCATAAGAAATTAGATAAAAATCTGAATGATTTAAAATTTCTATTTCTTCTCTAATGGTTTTCAATTGAACAGGTAATAAAAACACTAGCATACCGTTATCAACTAATGTATGTGATGCAATATTTAACAAGTCTCTAACAGCTGCAGTACAGTTGTATGTAATTGTTTTGTTATTCATTGTTTTTTTTTTTCCTAATTTTTTTTCATAGTTATTTATAACTTGGCTAGTTTCACTTAATTCATCATTACATATATTATCTTCTTTGTTATTTGCATTACTAGAATTCTTCACACTTATCCTCACAGTTGCTCTATTTCCATATGGAGGGTCTGTAACTATTGCATCAACCCATGGCTTATGGAAAAAATTCCAAATTGGCTTTGAATTATCAGATACTAAAATATCAGGCATATTTAAGTTGTAGTATAAAAAATTTTGAAAAATATTTTTTTTGTTACTTTGATGTTTCATATGTGGATTTAAATAAGATAATTTATAACCTTTCAATAGTCTTATGTCAATATCATTACCTATACATATTGCATTAAAGATGGAACATGAGACTAACAACCCCCCAGATCCTACAAAAGGATCTAATACAATATGACCTTTTTTTACTTTTGCTAAATTACACATTATAAAAGCCAATTCATTGTCAGTTGTGGTTGGTCCCAATATTGGCCTTTTATTTAGAGCATATTTTTTCCACCATGAAACTTTTGTTTTTTCATTAGTTTCGCTGTTTATATTATAAATTGAATTTTGATATTTCCTTAGTACAATACATTTACCAAAATATACTTTTTTTAAAATTTCTGAATTTTTTTTATCGTACTCTTCAAATAATGCAATTTGTACATCTGGGTTTATTATATCAATATCTTTATATTCATCAAAAAATGTTTTAAAATGATCCATCTTTTTCTTTTTATCATTTTGATTTATCACTTTACCAAAAGAATGAAAGTAAAAACACCACTTTTTATTTCTTAAATTTCTTTCAAAAAGATATTTTTTGGTAATTAAATTTTTTTGTAAGTCATTATATGATATGCCTTCGCTCCATAAATCAATAACTCCCTTAATTAAAATACTTCTAGATTGTATATTTTTCCATAATTCTTCGTCAGTTATATTTACTTTTAAAAAAACTTCTCCCTCATAATTGTTTTGCTTTTCATTTAACCATAATTCATTTCTTTTATGACCAAATATTTCCAATAATGATTTTAACTCACTAATTTTGCAGTTATCATATCTATTATGGCTACTAAACCAAATGAGATATGACATATTTATTAATTTTTAATATATTTTTTACATGTTTTTCTTCATACATTCATACGTATATATTGAAAAAAATATATAAATATATAACTAAAATTAAAAATAATGCAAAATAAAAATAAGAAAAATGTTAAAGCACAAATTAAAAACTTAAAAATGAATAAAAAAATTAAAAAGAGATAACTATTATATATATCTAATTCTTTAATTTTTTACATTATATATTTATTTTTTTTTTTTTATATTACAATGCAACAAATATATTATTCTTAAAACATAAGAATTTTCAATAATTTTTATATTATTTTTTTTTAATAATTATATATATATATATATATGCACATATATGTTTTATTTAGCACCTCATATTTGTATTTTTTGCAATATTTTATGATCTCATATTCTATTATCATGGGTATTATTTCATGTCACCTTTTAGTTTTGCTTTTTTTTTTTTTTTGTTGTTCACTTTCATCAAAATCTTTAAAATAATACGATGCACACATGCATTTTGAAAAAAAATAATGAATATTTACAAAATGAATATTAAGCATGAAAGGAAAAAATATCAAAATTGATTGATACATGTAGTAAAAAAAAATATTTTTCTTGAATTATATATATTCAACTCAAAAAAAAACAAATTCATATATTTTTATTAATATGCACAATTTATGCTTTCATTAGATAAAAGAAATCAATATATCGAGAAAATATAATAAAAAATAAATAAAAATTTTTTAAATTATTATTTTTTTTTTTTTAATATTATGAAAAAGAAAGAAAAATATGTGAAATTAAAAAGAAAATACACGCTACGATGAAATAATTAAAATTAATCATTGTATGCATACTATGGGATAAAGAATAAAAAATAAAAAATACAGCTAAATTAGTAATATAATTATATGGAATAATTAAATGCTACAAAAGCTGTTTTATTTAAAGCACTGCTTAACTTTTAGATATGTATTTTTTACTTATATACTATTTTTTTAATGACACATTTTCATTTACTTTTCGTTTGTCCAATCATGTTATCATGAGTTTTATAAATTGTACATAATTAATTTTTTTTTAATTTTTAAAAATAATATTAGGCACATTAAATAAAATAATTTAAAAGTGTTTTTAATTATTTTATACTTATATATGTATATCTTTTTGTTTAATTGTAAAATGCTATAATTTTCTAGATTTTTAAATGTTAAGTTTTTAAAAATTTATATGCTTATATAAATAAATTTATATGAATACATGAAAATACAAAAAACATAAATATATATGCATACATATAAAGATACATATCAATACATAAATACATGTATGTATATTATCACTTTAACGCATGATCTAAAGATATATCACTAAATATTAAAAAATAAATATATATATTTATTATTTTGAAATGCTAAAAATGCTTGCACCATATTAAAAAATACGTATGCATATATGAATGTTATTGCCATTAAATACAAAAAAGAAAAAAAAAAAAAGAAGAAAACTCTCAGAGGACACAAATAAAAACGAAATAGTTTAATAAAACTATTATATTTTATTGTATTTTTTTTTTATTTTTTTTTAAATATAAAAGTTAATATAATGGTTTTTATTTAAATATGCACCCTTTTAAAATACATGAATTATGAATATTTATGTGTTTTTTTTTAAGATTTTTTTTTAAAAACAGAAATGTGTACTCTTAAAAATTGAAAACGATATTATATTTGTTGTTTTAATTCGTGAATGTATCTTTGTCCAAAATTTTAGATGTTGTTTCTTCTTTTTTTCTTTTTTTTTTTTAATTTGATGTCGCATTAATTTTTTTAATTTAATAAAGAGAGAAAGGAAGTATAATGTATTTTTAAAAATTCTTGTTCCTTTTCTATTCTTTTTTATTTAAAATTAAAAAATTAATGCCCAAGATTTTATGAATAGCAATTAAAAATATAAAAATATAAATAATATTAAAATATAATAAGAGAATACTTTAAATATAAATATTAATTTTTGTATTCTATTTAATAAGTGCATATATGCATGTTCAGTATTTGCTTTTTAGTATATTTTAAAAAAGAATAAAAAATAATTAAAAAAAAGTAATATATATTAATACTAAGAACATATATTTTTTAAAACATATATACTCACTTTTTTGCATATAAATGTGTATGAACATTTATACAAATAAAGCATATGATTATATGTTATGTTTTTTCTTTTTTACATATAAAAATATTACAAATAAACAAATATATAAATATATATATGTATAATTCTTTTTTATTTTTTTTTTTTTTTGTTAATATTATATAGTTAAAAATATAGAGGAAAAAAAAAAAAAAATGAAAAGTAATTTTCAAAATGAACCTTTTAAAGAAGACAATTATATTAAAGCTTGGATTAAACAATCGGAAAATCCTGAGTTATATAAAGATTTTAATGATCTAGAAGATGAATCATGCACAAATGAATTTATAAAAGTTGTTGATTTCAATAATTTTAATAGCAATTTTATAAATACAATAATGAAAGAGCATTCACCTGAAAAGATAAAAGAAAATAAAAAAAGGAAAGCATATTGCTTATTTTATAATAGTGAAATTGAGTCAGAAAGCAACTACTATAATGATGAACATAAAAATTACAATAATATATATTCATCTTATGAAGACACTGAAATAAAATATTTCAAACCTTTAGATAAAACACCTTCTTGTGATATGAAAGACAGGCAAATACATCATTATAAAGATGAAAATTTGTCAATTAAAAAATTGAAACGAGAAAATGTTTGTTCAGAAAATAATTATGATATTTTTTGTCATAATTTAATGGATTCTTCTCCATATTTAAAACTAAAGCAATGTAATAAACCAAATTATGGAAGTGAAAGTACTAGTGAATTTTTTAATAATTATGAATTTGAAACACCAATCAAAGTTTTAAGATCAAAAGAAAAAAGTTATGATATTAAAAATAAAAAAGACAATTCTACTAATACAACTAAAGAAAATTCCTATCAAGAAAATGTTTCCTCAAATAATAGTGAAACTAAAAGAACAATAAATTTTTCTAATAAAACAGAAGATTTCAATGATTTGCAATCCAATTCAGACAATGAATACTTAACATCTTCTGAATATGTTGACGAAGAAGATTTATCAAGATATGGTCAAAAAAAACAAAGTGAGGTTAATTTTTTAGGACAAAAATTAGATTATAAAGTAGTTGGAAATGTTATAAATTGTTCAAAAGATCATCCACGTTTTACTATATTAAAATGAAAATTTTCCTAAATTTTGTTTATTAAAAAGACTTTATTAATAAAGAGAAAATAAAAAAATTGATACAAAATTTAATAATTTTTACATTTAATAAAAAAAAATATATATATATTTTCCTCAATAAAATTATATAAAAATTATTTTGTTTAAAAAATTTAATGTATACTTAAAAAAAAAAAATTGTTATTGTTTATATATATATATATGTTTATATATATATAAAGGGAGAGAAATTTTTTTTTTTTTACGTTAAAAATTCATATATATATTTATATAATATATACATTAAAAAGAAATTAATTTATGTTTCTATTTCTTAATTTATAAAGAACATTATTATTTTTTTTCTTTTTATAAATTAGGACTACAATCATTTGTCATTTTTTTTTTTTTTTTATATTATATAAATTCATTTTTACCAAAAAAAATTTCATAAAATAATTTTTTTTTATTTTTACATTTCTATATTTGCATAATATTATTTTACACTTTTTTAAATATGAATTTAAAACAAGAATAAACCCTAAATTATTTATAATGTATGTATGATACAAAAAAAAAAAAAAAAAATAATAAATAAATAAAAATGTTTATGTATATTTTTTTTTTTTTTTTTTTTTTGTTTGTTTACTTTTTTATCTTATTTTTATCTATTTCTTTAATTTATATTATTTAATTTCTTCTTTTTAAATTTATGTAAAATTGACGTTAATAAGATATACAATTTTTTGTTTATTTTTGAATTTTTATTTTAGTTCTATTTTTTTTTTTTTTTTTTTTTTTTTTTTTTATATATATATACTTATTTAAATTTAATTTGGTGTGTAAATTAATTTTAATTTAATATTATTAAAATTTATAAACAGTTTTTTCTTTTTTTCAAGCTGTATTTTATAACTTATAATAAAAAGTTATGAATGAAGAAAATGAATAGTTAATTATGTAATTAATAATTATTTTTCTACATATAAGTTAGTTTCATAAGAAAAATAAGTAAAAATATAATTAAAAATATGTCTAGTATGATAAAATAATAGTCATATGGTTGTATTTTTTTTAGAAAATATCCTTTAACCAGAAAAAAATTAAAAATTGTATATATATATATATGTATATATATATATATATGTATTTTTATTTATTTTTTTTATTATTGTTTTTCTTTTTAAATAAGGTAAATTTTATTAGAAAAGATGAAATTCTTTTTAATTAATAAAAAATACGTATGTATTTTTTTATAATTTGACAGCTTTAAAATAGCCCCATAATTGTATTTTTCTTTTGCTGTCTTTAATTTTTCTAGTCCATCCATCTCGTAAAGAATTATATTCCTTTTGAGAAAATTTTTTCAAAAATTCTTCTTTTTTATCTTCTAATTTATTAATTTCCACTTCTAATAGATCTAACCACATATCACTTATATCCTTTGATATTACATTTTCGAATTTGCAAGAAACAATTAAATCTTTGTATTCTTCAACAGTTATTAATGTATATCTTCTTTTTTTAATATATTCTTTAAATTCTTCATCCCAATTTTCTGGTTTACTAGCACAATAATCAGTTACTAAGATAATTCCATTAGGTTTTAACCATTTATAACATTTTTCAAATAATTTCTTTTTGTTTTCAAGGGAAAGATGCAAAATTGAATCTCTACTGTAAATCATATCAAAAGTGTTTTCAGGAAAATCTTTTAATAATATATCATTGGCCTCAAATTCAATTTTTTTATTTCCGGAATTCCTGTTTTTAGCTATATTAACCATATTTTCCGATATGTCTATTCCATACACATGTGCACCATATTTGTCATTTATATATTTGCATCCACCTCCTAATCCTGATCCTATGTCTATAATAAAAAAAAAATTTTAAAAAAAAAAAAAGAAATATATATAAATATATATATATATAATGGATTTCACTTCAATAATACCCAAAACTTTGGAATTTTCATTCAGTTGTATATCACTTAAAATTTTAATTGTTGCATCCAAACCTCCTGATGATATAAAATTACTATTACAAAAAAAAAAAAAAAATAAAATAAAATAAAAATAAAATTACATGTATTTTACTTTTTTCTTTTTTTTTTTTTTATTATTATTACTCTCCAAAAATGAATTCATAAGATTTGATTCCTGTGTATATTTTAAAAAAAAATATACATAAATATATATATATACATATATATATATAAATATGAATTTGTTCATATTTAAATTTGATAATTTTATTTTTAAGTTTATGTAATTTAATTACCTTCTTCAGTATATTGATTGGTTTCCAAGAATGTTTTATCTATTTTAAATTTGTTCTCCATATTAAAAATGAAAAAAATTAAAATTATAATAAAAAGAGTTTAATTCAAATAATTCGTTATGAAGATTAAATAAAAAAAAATATATAAAATTATAAAAAAGAATGTTTTTATTTCATAAAATAATGAAAAGTATGTTTTTATTTATATGTTCTTAGAAATAACAAGCATATTTTGTTAATATTTTAAACGTAAAAAAAATACTTAAGTTTTTATAATTTATTTTTTATTTTATATTATGTTTTATTTATTTTTATTTTTATTTTTTTTTTTTTTAAATATTCATTCGTAAAGAACAAAATAATTATTGCAATAATCAATATAATAACTCGTGTAATTTGTTTTTATCTTAAATTCGGCTGTGAAATAATTTTCACCAGGATTGTTTTGTATATAGTTAAAAATAAAGTATCTTGCTACCATTATTTCTTTTGGTTACTATCTTAAAATATTAAATAAAATCATTGTAGTAATATTAACAATCATATTCATATATAAATGATATATGAAAGCATTTAAATTTTTTGAATGTTTTTTTTTTTTTTAAGTTTAAGAAAAATACATCAATTTTTAAGTTAGAAGGTGCATGCCAGAAATTAAGGTAATTAATCTAATATTTTCTAGTTTTTATTTATTAGAAATATACAATAAAAACAACATTTTTCATTTTTTCAGACATAAAATTAAGATTAATAACTCTAAAGAAAAAAAATAAAATTAAAATAAATAAAAGAGATTTTTTTCTTATTAGCATGGTTCTTATAAAAATTAATTTACCAATTTAAGCAATTCCCTTATTTCTTATGTTTGGACTTTCATTGGAAAATACAACTAAAAATTATCTTAAACATTTTAAATGTATTTATTTAATTTTTTCATGTATGACTATTTATTTAAAAAAAAAAAAAATAAGAAAATTAAGAATTAGAGTTTTTATTTATAATATTAAGAATTTACAAAAGTAGTAACTTTGTTAAATTTATTAAGAAAATAAAACTCTGAAAAGTATATATCGCATGCATAGAAATTTTTAATAATTTCATAGATGATTTATACAACATACAATGATATTTGTTCATAAAATAAAAAATTATTCCAATATGTACAGTTGAATTGTTCTCTAAAAATTTTTTTTGTTAATTAAAAGAACCAACATTAATTTTTTGAAGCATTTCAACTATTATTTGAATAAGGAATGATCAAAAAGAAATTTTTTTTTTTTTTTTATTTTTTGAAATATTTCATATGTATATATTTTTTTATAAATTAATAATATTCAATTACTTTATTGTAGTTTTTTTTCTAAGTATGTTATATCTTTAATTTTCTTTTTCATATTTTGAATTATTTTAAAATTTAATTCATTCAAATTTCATTTTAATTAAAACATAAATTCCATATTTTTAAAAAAAAAAAAAAATTATTTTAACTTTAAATGGATGAACGGCTAATATAGAGTATAAAATGAATAGTGTTAATATTTATTTCATTAAAAAAAATATTTTAAAATTTAAGAGAATTGTTTTTTAATTATTATATGCCTATAAGATAAAGAGAATCATATTATGAATAATATAATAAAAAAATTATATAGTATTAAAGATCTTAATTTTAATACATAAAAAAAAATATGAAAAATGGTAATGGAATAAATTATACAATAGATAATGAACAAAATTTTGAAAAATTAAATAACAGTAAAAAATATATTTATGAAAAAAATAAGAAATATAATAATAAAAAAAATGAGAAATTAGTTAATGAAAATAATTCATTTGATTATTTAAATGAATTAAAATTGACATCATTTGATACATTAAAACATATAAATTTTTTTCAAAATAAAAAATTTAATTTAAAAGAAAATTCAAGTGACTGTCAAAAAAGTTATTACAAGAAAAATGATATTGAAGCAAACGATTACAAGGATTTTATAATTAATGAAAAAAATATCCCTCATGATCATCTAAAAAATAGAGAAATTTTATGCAAAAAAATGAATGAAAAAACACAATTAGCTAATTTTTCAAAAGAAAATAATATAGAAGAACCAAATAAAAATTCAAAAACATATTCAAACTTTAATAAAAAAAATGTTTTAACTACTATATTTCAAGAAAAGGATTTAAGTTTTAAAAATAATTCAACTCAAAATTATAGTTTTTCAAAATTTTCAACGAATAAATTGAATCCATGTGAAACATTTTTAAATAATTTATCAAATAATGAAAATTATATAGTATATAATGAAAATGATGAAATGAAAAATCAAATGAGCACATTAATTTATAATAGAAGTAAAAATCCTTTTGAAGATAAAAATAAAGTAGAAGAAAATAATTTGCAGATTAAAAATATGAATACGTATGATACAAATAAAGAGAATTACTATAAAAGAAATGATGATAAGATATATCTTAAGCAAGATGACTTAGAAAATGGTTACATGAATAATGATAATTTTAATAATTATGCTTTTTTAAATCTTGAAAACAAAATATATAGTAATGAAAAAAATGGAGTTATGGTTCATTCAGATAACATGATAAATGAAAATATTTTAAACAAAACTGGAGAAATTCCTATAATAAATAAAAATAGGTTAAGCAAAAAAATAGTTAATTCGAATAATTATATAATTGAAAAAAATGAAGAAAAAAATAATGTAAATTATTCCCAAAAAAATTTTTTAATTAATAATATTAATACTCCTAAAAATTATTTTTTTAATAATAAAAAGGATTGTAATAAAAATGATTATATTTTTTATAAGAATAATATGTGGAATGATAAAATAGAAAATGATTTTATTGATCAATATAAGATAAACAATAAAAATGGAAATTATAGTGAATCTGATAATTCAAAAATACCGTATGATAATTCTTCGAATTCTAATAAAATCAATAATAATATAAACAAATGTTATATGATTAATAGCAATTTGAATAATCAAAATGTTAATAATAATAACAAAACGTATTTTTTAAAAAATGATATAATTGACAAAATAAATTATAATATGCAAGAAGATAATAATGATACATTTATTAAAAGTAATATAATGAATAACATGAATGCAGTGGATAACCTAAAATTAATGAATTGTGATAACACAGAATACAATAATATAAGTAATAATTACTTAAATAAATATAATTGTAATGTAAATAATTATAATAATAATAACAATATTTATTCCATTTATGGTACATATATGTCTCCTAATTATAATTTTACCAATGATGATAATAATGTTAATAATTTACATACTAATAATGATTCCATAAATGGTTTCAGTTATGTTAATTGTGATAGAAACTGCCATATAGGAGATAATTACGAAAATAATATTTATATTAATGATAATTCATCTACAAAAAATGAACATTACATTAACAAAAATTTTACAAGTAATAATAATAATAATAATAATAATTATACTAACAATGAATCAATAAATACTTCTGAACATAACAAAAATGATTGTTTTATTGTAAATTCTGTAAGTAATTTAAATTATGTAAATGATAAAAATGAAGAAATCCGAAAAAATAATATATCATATAAAAAAGAAAATGAATATGTAGAATATAAATTCCCTAATCTTACAATGGATAATAGATCCTATAATAAAAAATGTTATAATATGTTTTCAAAAAATAATTTGATAACTAAACATAAAGAATTCATGGATAGTAATTATAGTAGTCCAATTAGAAATAACAAAGAACAAGATATCAGAATTAATAATATAAATTATAATAGTTTTATTAATGATAATAATTATATTGAAAATAATAAAACACAATTAAAAAAAACAGAAATAGATACAAATTACTTAAATGGAGAAAAAGAAAATATAGATAGATTTTGTAATATATTACTTAACGAGGAAAAAAGAGCAGCAAATAATAGCGAGATAAATCATAATAAAAATATAGAAGTTCCATCAAAAAATGATAATATAAGTAATACATTTAAAAATTTTACTAATGATAATGAAACCATAAAACATATTTTGTATAATGAAAAAATCAATTCCAAATATTCAGAAGCAACAAATTCAAGAATGAATGATAATGGTCGTTTAAATAATTTAAGAAATGATGATCTAGAAAATGATTTTAATAATTTTGATATTCAGTATATTAATTATAAAAAGAAAAATGATGCTATAATTAACGAAATAAATAAGAATACACAACCAAGTTTTAAAAAAAAAGAATATTTTACTAATGAATTTCAAAAAAATAAAAAAAATGAAGAAAATATTAATGAATTAAGTGGGAATAGAGAATTCCCTTATGAAGAAATAGAAAATATCAATAATTCTGAAATGTTATATAATTTAAAAAATAAGAACATTGATAACTCTTTTGAGCTTAGCTTATTTGATAATACTAATGAATTAAATAATAAATATGAAGATTTATTTGAAAAGAAAATGATTTATAATTTATATTTGCAATCATTATTAGCAAATATAAATAATTCATATAAAAATGAAAATTCACCTCCTAAAAATAATGACAGTGTAAAAAATGACGTAAATGATCAATTGATATTATTCAATTTAAACAATGTACAGAATAAAATTTTAAATAAAATTCCAAGAATAAATAGTTATTTTTCATACTTAGATTACTATATAGAATCATTGCGATTATTATATGATAAACTATTAAGTAATAGAAGTTTAATATTAAAATTAGCAAAGGAAATTTTCTCAAAAAATATAAATGAAAAAAAAATTTATAATTCTCTTGATGACAGACATTCTTACTTTAGAGAATTATTGTCAATCTTATTACCCCAACCTCCAGTTTTCCCATCTTTGGAAGTTTGGCTATATATGGATAAAAAAAATGCCTCACAAATTCATAAACTTCATTTAACATTATATATTATTTATCAGAAAATTATTTATAATTTTTCAAATATATTACTACAAATAAATAATGACATAAATTATTCAAATAAAAATAAATCCAGTAAAAATAATGAAACTGATTCTATAAATTATTACATTGATTACAATCAGGAGAAAGATTCTGATGCATTTAAAAATTCTTTGAAGAGCGATTATATTTCAAAAGATAGCATAGATATAGAAGAAGGTATAACTAATAAAAATCTTCATATTAATGAATTAAAGTCAAATGATAGTAAAATATTAGTACCATCATCTAATAATAAAATAATGAAATACAATGATATTGATGCAAATTATAAAAATAATAAAATAGAAAAAAAATGCTTATTTGAAATTAATAGAAAACTAGAAAATATAATGAATTCAATTAATAATATAACTAATATGATAAATAGGAAAAAAGAATCAACATTAGAAAATAAAAGAAATTTAAGAGATAGTGGAATAATTGATGATAAAAAAAGGTGTTCAATTGAAACTATTGAGGATAACATGGAATTATCTAACAACAAATTATATGAGAAAGAGTATGATCATGATAATAATTTTATGCATGATATAAAAAAAGAAAGTTCTCCAAAATATGTATGCAACATTAATGAAGGAGAAAGAAATTATACATTTAATAATCAAATTGTTGCCTATGATGACTTAAAAAATGATGAATTATTCGAAAACATATCTAATATAAAATTAGATAGAAATAACTTAGTTTATGAAGAAAATACATTAAAATTATTAGATAAAATAAAATATGAGTTAAATGATATATACAATGAGATATTCAATTTAAATAAATATGATAATTTGGTATCATTAGATGATCAATCGAATAATTTTTCAAGGTTATGGAATTCCAACAGTAATGATACCATATCAAATACAAAACCAAAGCTTAAAAGTTATTATTTTAATGGCTTATTAGATAGTGAAGACTTAAATTATAATCAGTTAAACGATTCATCTAGTAATTATAATAATTTTTCAAATAACAAATCATTAAACAAAAAAGATTATAATATTCAAAATAAATTGATGAAAAATATTGAAAATACCAATTTGTCTTCAAATCAAAATATAAATGATATAATATATGACATAAATTGCACAGATGATATTTTTAAAAGACTTATTTTATCCAAAAACTATTATAATAATTTATCTGATTATGATAGTTATTTAATAAATGCTTATAAAGAAAATGAAAAAAAGTTTAAAAATTTTAATGAAATTAAAAATTCTAACAATATGGGTGAAGAATCATTTTGCAATCAATTACTTCCAAGTAATGAAAAGAGCCATATATTTTTAAATAACAATAATGTAAATATATATAATAAAGATAATAATGAAAAATTTATTACAAATATGAATAATTCTCTTTTTTGTGATACTAGTGGAAAAGTTAATGTCTACATTAATGAAAAGGAAAATGATAATTCAAATAAATCGAATGAAAATTCTTTTATTTTTACTAATAATGAAAATAATTCTAACAATAATAATGATGATTTTGAAAAAGAAAGCGATTATATAAATATGAATTTATATAATTTTAAAAATTCGTTTGAAAATTTATCTTTAGATAATAAAAATGATATTATAGAAACAAATAATTCTTTAGTATTATCAGGAAAAAATAAAAATAATATTATTTTAAATAAGAAGAAAAATATTTTTTTATCTGATAACATATCAAAAAATAAAAAAACTTCTCCTTTAAACGAATATGTTTATGGTTATATAAAAGATAACGATATTACCAATTATAATACTACATTTGCTACTACTTCTAATGATAATAATAATATGGATAATAGTAGTAATAAAGATAATATTAGTAATAATAATAATATGGATAATAGTAGTAATAATAATAATAGTAATAATAAGGATAATATTAGTAGTAATAATAATAATTATAACGATAATAGTAGTAATAATAATTATAATAATAATAATAAGGATAATATTAGTAATAATAATAATAATAAGGATGATATTAATAATAAGGATAACAGTTATAATAGTAATAATAATAATAACAATGATAATAGTTGTTATAGTTATAACAGTAATAATAATTATAATAGTTGCGATAATAATAATAATAATAATAGCAATAATAATAATTGTAATAGTAATAATATTAATAATGATAACATAAATATTTTAATAGAAAATGTAGAAAATGAAATGATGATACCAGAAGTTAAATATACTACTGATCATTGCACAAATAATGAAAAGTTAAATTATAATTATTTCTTTTTAAAACCTAATAATTCTGATAACCTTTTAATGAAAAGGAAAAATGATAATAGTGAAACTCCAATTCATGAATTGAGTAATTTTTTTAGTAAAAATATGAATAATTATTCCAATAACAATTCTTTGGAAACTAATGTGTCTATTTCTGAAAATTTATTTGAATCTCCCAAAATAAAGCATGATATAAGTGAAACAACAAAAATTGAAGAGAACAATTACTTTGGAAAATTAAAAGGAAAAAATAATAATTCATACATAAATAATCAAAATGAAAAAATTGATGACCATTTAACATATTTACAAAATAATTTTGGACTAAATGAAAACGAAGAAAATAAAAATTCTTTATCTATTATAAAAAATCAAGAAAATTACGATCACATTGGAGATATTACTCCATCAAATTTTGCAAACTCACAGAACATATTAACTAATGATTCTCTAAATTATGATATAAATTCACATAAGAACAATATAATTATTAATAACAATGTAGAAAATAATAATATAAATAATCATTTGAATGATAGCATATTGAGTAATGATCATATTAGTAATACTTTAATGATGGACAACAATAGTAATTTAATAATGGATACAAATATAAATAATAGTAATAACAGTTTATTAAATCGTAATATTTTGAGCAATGATATTGTAAATAATAGCACAATTAACAGAAGCATAATAAATTTTAATACGGAAAGTTATAATAAAATTGACGATAATATTATAAATAATCATTTAATAAATGATAATGTAAATTATTACAATAATTCATCCCATTTATTAAATTATAACAATTTAAAAAATGATTTAGAAAATGATTTAGAAAATAATATATATAATAGTCAAATAATAGAAAATAAATTTATAGATAATGAAGTTCCAAATAATAAACTACTAAATAATGAATTTGGAGATAAAGAAAATTTAAAGATAAATATTTTATGTGATGATAATTTAAATTCTTGTATTAATTTTCATAAAAGTGATTTTGAAAAATTTAATGGTAGTTCATTGGAAAATGAGGAATTCATAAATGTTAATAATAATAATTACAAAAGTAAATTGAAAACAAATGATATAAAAGATTTTTCAGAAAATGTAATGGAAAATAAAAGAAAATATAATTTTTCTAATGATGAGAATTTAATTGAAGATGTTACATCAGAAATCATTACAAAAAGTCATTCTAGAAATTCAAACCATATAAGTAAAAATTTATCTGCAACAGAATTATGGAAATATGAAAAGGATCATTCAAAACAGTTAAATGAAACAAAATACGATGAAAAATCTAAGAAAGAAATAAGTAACATAGCAGAGATAAAAGATATAGAAAATGAAGATAAGATTAATAACGTGAATAAAATAAAATTAAAAAAAATGTTGGAAATAACTGATAAGTTAATTGGAAAAAAGTATAGAGGTATATCTTACGATCCCACAAGGAATGGATGGTCAACATTCGTATATAAAGACGGAGTAAGACATAAGAAATTTTTTTCTTCATTTAAATACGGAAATTTATTAGCTAAAAAAAAATCAATAGAATGGAGATTAAAAAATTTAAACCCTGATTCTCATGCATATGCCTTTTCCTTGCAAGCCAAAGAAGAATTTAATGCAATTTTAAATAATGATTATGAAGAAATGAACACTACCAATGATAAAAAAAAAAAAGATAATTCGGATAATATTAACAGAGACATTTTATATATAAATGCCTTTTTAAATTTATTTAATGATGAGAAGGAAAAAAAATATTCATCAGATGAAAGTAATAAAATTAAAAAATCAAAAAGTAATGAAGTCAAAGGCATTTCTAAAAAAAGAAATAAAAAGAACATTAATGAAAATAACTGTAATTCATCAAATAGAAAAAATATGAATATTCCAATAAATTATGATACCAATAATAGCTGTTCTCTTGACAACAATGATAATTTGAACGATAAAAATACAAAGAACACTAATAAAAATAAATTTTTAAATAAAAAAAAAAATTACCAAAATAAAAATAAGCAAAATAAAAAAAAAAAATGTAGTAATAATTATGAACATAAGAAAAATAAGAAGGAAAAAGATATGAATCTACAAAAAAAAAATTTTTTGGATAAATTTCATCCTAAGAACAATTTAGAAAGTTTTAGTGATATAGATAAATTACAAAACGATAATGTTTTACTTGAAAATATAAATGAAAATAGCAATATTGAAAAAGGAAAAAACTCATTCAATTTAAAAAAAACTGATCAAGATGATTCTTTTTTAAATAAAAAACATTTTTTAAGTTTTTTAAATCAGAAGGAACTAAATTCTAAAAGTTCTGATTATAATGAGAATAAAATCACAAAAAAATCTAATAAAGAAAATTATAAAAATGTTATTGATATATATACAAGAAAAAAAAAAAAAGGAAAAATTAATAAAATAAATGAACCTTATGATGATTTGGTATCAAGTGAGAATTTTAATGAAACAAGGTCTTATGATAGACTTGAAAAAGAAAATTCAAGTAATAATGACAAAAATGATAACATGAATTTGAGGAGCCTTTCAGATGATATATCTAGTAGTAATTCTAAAGGCATACTGATGAATGCAAAGAATAATTCTTTTATAAAATATAAGAATAAAAAAAAAAGAAAAAGAAATTCAACAGATGGAAATGAATCAGTTAGTGATGTAGATATATTACATAAAAGTGACATAATGGATGAAAATAGTTTAATAAAAGAAAATGAATTATTTAATAAAATATATTCGTTGTGCGAAAATGGTTCTATAGATGACGATGCTATTTTAGAAAAAATTGAAAAGTTTTATGATGATGATTATTTAAACAAAAATTACATATCTGGTGATTCTAAAGCCATAAATGAAAATAACGCAATAGACAGTGAATATTTAATGGAAAATTTTCACCTAGAAGACAAAAATAAATTATTAAATAAAATGGAAGTTAATAATTTGAAAAAGGAGAATAATATGATTAGTGAAGATAATTATTTTAAAGAAAATTGTTTAATGAATGATAATGATGCACTGACGGAGGTTGACACTGTCGATGAAGAAGAAATTATTAGTAATTTTTATTCATTAGGAATAAATGATTCAATAAAAGAAAACTTTTGGACAAAAGAGATGAATTTAATGAACGACATGAATTCAATAGAAGACAATGAATTTATAAGTAAAACAAAAGAATCAAAGGAAAATAAAGTAACAGATATAGAAAAGGATAAAACAAATGAAAATATACAAAAAAAAAGAAATATTCCAAATGAAAAGGTAATAAATGATTCTGATGAAAATGATAATAAAAATAAAATTGATTCTTATTTTTCTATTGATCACAATAGAAACAATAATAATATGAATGAAAACAGTTTTAAATATGCAGATGAGCTTAGTGAAGAAAAAAAAAATATATATGTAGGTAATAAAAATGTGAATGATCAAAATTATTATATTTACAAGGATAAATTATTGAAATATATGAGTGAATGCTCGTGTACTACTGAAGAGGAAAAAAATGTTTTCATAAAGTATTTGAATTTGAAAACAGGATGGATTTTGCTAGAATTAAGTGATTTAGAGGAAACCTATCATGATTATTTTAGAAGTAAAATAGAATCATTCTATAAATCATATTTGTTAAAAGTAAAAAATAATAATAGAAAAAATGAAAATATTGGAGAACTTCAAATAATTTTCGAGAAAAAATTAAATACTCCATGGAAGCACATGATATTTCCTTTATATTTTTTGTACATTTTTAATTATAAAATTTTCTCTATCTTAAAACGCACAAAAAAAAAAGCAAATATTACAAATGACGTTAATGAAAGGCATCTTAAAAGTAATATTAGGGGAATAAATTACATAAAATATAAGAAATCATGGTGTTTCACTTATATTGATATAGATGAAAAAAAGAAAAAAAAGTGTTTTTCAATCCTCCAGTATGGTTTTATGGAATCCAAAGCATTAGCAATATTATATCGAAAGAGTTTTGTTTCTCATTTAACTAAAATGCAAAACTTTATAAAAAATGTTATATTTAAAAATAAATTGACAACTATAAATAAGTTGAATAATTATAAGACAATATATGATTATATAGATTATTATAAGAAGTATGAAGAATTTTTAGTTTGTTATGGGAAAATTATTTATTTTAATGAAATGAAATATATATATTTATCCTCTAGAAACAAACAAAATGCATTAAATTACTTGCCTTTTGAAGTACATAATAAATTATCTAATGAAATAGAACCTATAAATTTAATAACAGCTACAAGAAATTATTTTTCCAAAAAATCGAAATTATTAAAATTTCCTAAAGGTGTTGTTTATTTATCTGGTTATTTTTTATGGGCAGTATTATTTTTAAATAAGAATAATAAAGAAATAATAGTTTCTTTTTCAGTTCGTAAATATTCTTTTGAAAATGCTAGAGCCAGATGTATTGAATGCTACTATTGTTTGTTATATAAATATAAGTTCCATCCAGTAAATATATCTGGTGTAATAGATTTGGTACTAGAAAGTGACATAGAATGTAAAAGTTACAATCTTTTAGATTATTCTTCAGAGGAATTAATCTCATTAGAATATTTATTTCATTATTTTTCACCATCGAATTATATAATTAAAAACGATATAGTTTATAAAAAAATTTCCTATATTGAAAAAGATCTTCATAAGGAATATGATCAAATGTTTCCTAATGAGTATGTCCATTTGGATAATTATCAAAGTTATGAAATGCAAGACAAATATTTATACAGTGAACTTTATATGAACAAGGAATGCAATTTTTTTTCAAATAGTTGTAACAGTACATCTATAAGAGATGATAATATATATATTAATAACTCTAAAGTTGATCAAAATATTTTTAACGAAAATATTGATTCACAGATTTATTTGGATAAAAATTGTACCCTAAATAGTAGTAGAGGAGGTAATGATAAGGATATTTGTGACAAAAAATTCAGTAATAACAATTCATGTGATAGCTCATTCGAAAATTTATCCAATATCAATAATGATAGTAGTAATAATGATATATCTACTTATAAATATGAAATAAATAATGAAAATGAAATTAAAAATGAAAAGGAAGAAAATCTTGATAGTTATATTTTGAGAGATCATTCTAATACGTTCAGTGATTTACTAACTATTCGCAAAAAAAAATGTGATAAGAAAAACATTCCTCTATATTTTACTGATGATGAAAAAAATAAAACGATATATAGAAATAATTCACATAATGAAGGAAAAAATTATAATTTCACTTATCCTACACAAAATGAGAAAACAAAAAAAGAAGAAACGAATTTTAGCAACACAAAAGATTTTATTGATAAAGGAAACATAAGCCAACTAAAAACTCATGAAAATTATAATGATTTAAGTGAAAATAAAAATAGTATATGTTCTAATGAAAATTCAAATGAATCAGAAAAAAGGAGTTCACTAAATCACAATAATAAAAAGTTTAATGATAGTATCACAAGTCACATGTGTACTAAACAAATTAATAACATGTTAGTTGAAAATATAAATGATGATAATACAAATAAAAATAATAGTAATACTTTTAGTCATAGTGATGTTTATATTAATTGTGTTAATAAAATGAATGATAATGATAAATATAACTTTGAAGAAAAAAATATCTCCTTTGAGAAAAAAAAATATAATGAACTAAAAGAGGAAGTTAACCAAGAACAAAGAAACATTTTTCATTTAAATGATTATAAAGAAAATGATGTCAATAATTCAGTTGATGAAGACAATCTAGAAAAAAAAAATGATTCAGAGCATTTTTTTAATAAGGAGAACAATTTTTATCAAGAATGCAAAAACAGTAACAGATCATTCTTAAACCAAGATTATTATAAGAAAATTTTGAGTAAAAGTATATATAATTTTTTTGATAATAATTTACAAGATGAATATTTAAAAAAAAAGTATGATGAATTATTTAATGAAAATGAAGTTAAAACAAATATATTTAAAAAAATAGATAAAAAAGAGGAACATTTAGGAATTTTTATGTTATTAAATTGCCAGTGGTTATCTGATTCATTTGTCAATAATATATATGAAATAGAAATGAAATATGCAGACATTTATTCTTTTGAAAATTATCGTAACACACGTGAAGAAGTTCTAAAATGGAAATGTAAAAAAAACTTTATTAAAGAATGTTCAGAAATATCTAAAAAATTTCCAAGAAAAGTTGGAGTTCATTATGATTCATATGCACATGCTTGGGTTGTTAACTGTTCTTTTAATGGAAGAAGACATGATAAAAAATTTTTAGTAAAGACATTTGGTTTTTTACAAGCAAGAAAATTAGCCATTGAATACAGAGAAAAATGGATGCAGTTAAAATCATTTCACAGGATGAAAAATTTAAAAAAGAAAATTAAAAATAAAAAAAATAAGTAAAAAAATTTGATTTTAGTCTTTAAACTAAAAAACAGAAAAAATTCTTTTAGTATAGTTTTATCATGTAAAAATATTAATTCATTTACTAATATTTTTTTTAAGTTCATATTTTTTCTTTTTGTTAATTATTATTGTTTATTTTATTTATAATTCACAAGCAGTTTTTAATATTATTTTATGTTTAAATATAAATTATGCTTCGATAATTCATATATATATATATATATCCATATGTATATTATTTAAATTTGTTACAATAAAATACTTATGCTTGAATGTATACTTTTGACATACATATTCATTATTTTTCTTCATTAAAATGTGTAATTGTTTTCATATTATTTTCTCCTATTTTTTATAATATATATAACCATTCAGAAATATTATATATATATATATATATATTTTTTTTAATGATATATAGCCTATTTAGCTATTAAAAATAAATATATTTATGTTCAATTATTTTTCATTTTTACGTTTCTTCTTTTAAACTTTTTTTTGGTATTACAGTTTTTATCGCTTTTTTAAAATTCGTAATGTTATATTTATTTTTTTTGTTTACAAAAATGTTTTTAAAAGGCAAAGTTTAAAAATATATTATGAGTGATGTTATAAGTATAATTCTATTAAAAAATCATTTAAATTAATAAAAAACATTTGTAAAAGTATGAACTGTAAAACTTTTTTATAATTAATTAATGTATATTATGATAAGTAATAAACATTTATAATAAATTTTTTTTTAATATTTATATATGATGATTAAAAAAGTTTATCTGTTAATTCGTTAAAAAGTTATATTAATAAATATATAATTTATTTTGAATGAATTACTTTAAAAATATATATAGTGTTATTGTTAATTATTAATAATTTTTTTCAAGAATTAAAAAATAACAATTGAAAAGTTTTTGCAAAAATATCACAAATACATATATTACGTGAACATTAATAAAAAATACATTACATTAATAAAAAATACATTAAATTAATAAAAAATACATTACATTAATAAAAAACCTTTTAAATAATGAATGAAATTCACACTCCAACTGAATGTCTTTTTAACTTAAGAACATATATGTTTATGCTTCAATTGAATAATGCCAATTTAACTATTATAATTATAAAATTTCTTTATAATAAAAAAAAAAAATTAATATTTTTTTTTAAAGTTGAGGTCCCCCAGAAATAATATCTGGACCTGCTTTATCTGAGAAAAGTTTAAAATTATTTATAAATTCATTAGCCAAATTACGAAGATTTTTTAAATAATCTTCTTTGTCTTTCCATCCAATTAAAGGATCCAAAACCTCATCGGGTATGCCTTCTAAATGAACAGGTATATTAAAATTAAAAATGGGAGTTCTTTTGTATTCAATATCATTTAGTTTGTCATCATGTATATAATTTACTAATGTACGAGTATATTTTAATGGTATTCTCACACCGTTTTGAGATCCATATGGACCAAAAATCCAACCAGTATTTAATAACCATACATTTGCTTTATGTTTTTGATATTTTTCTGCTAACATTTTTGCATAAACCATTGGATGGAGAGCTAAAAATGGAGCAGCATAACAAGAAGAAAAAGTAGCTGTCGGTTTTAATATATCATCTTCTGTTCCTGCCATTTTACTTGTGTATCCACTAACAAAATGGTACATCATTTGATATACATCTAATTTGCATAATGGAGGAATAACACCAAAGGCATCACAAGTTAGTAAAATAATATTTTTGGGATGACTGTTTATATGTGCAGGTATTTTGGCATTGTCTATATAAGATAAGGGATAAGCACATCTCGTATTTTCAGTAATTGAACAATCATTGTAATCTACTTCTCTAGTAATTGGATCCATAACTACATTTTCTAGTATTGCACCAAATTTTATTGCTTTATAAATTTCTGGTTCTTGTTTCTTTGACAATCCTTTACATTTAGCATAACATCCTCCTTCTATATTAAAAATGCCATCATCCGTCCATACATGTTCATCATCTCCAATAAGATACCTATTTGCATCTGCAGATAAAGTTGTTTTGCCTGTTCCAGATAAACCAAAAAATAAAGTAACATCATTATTTACTCCTATATTGCATGAGGAATGTAATGGTAACTTTCCTTCCTTTGGCATTTTATACATAAATAAAGTTAATATTCCTTTTTTCATTTCTCCTGCATATTGTGTACCTAATATGACCATATTCATTGTCCCAAAATTCAAAATTACTGAAGTTTTACTAGACATACCTTCTGTTAATCGATTTGATGGAAAATCTCCAGCATTATAAATAATAAAATCTGGAACAAAATTTTGAATTTCTTCCATATTCTTAGGTGGTATAAGCATATTTAACATAAATAATGCATGGTATGCTCTTGATGTTATAACTCTTACTTTTATTCTGCATCTTTCATCCCAACCTGCATATGCATCAATTACATATAAATTGGGTTGTAAATTTAGATAGTCTATTGCTCTACTTTTATTTATTTCATAAGATTTTTCCTTAATTGGAATATTTACATTTCCCCACCATATGTCATTTTCTGAACTTTTCTCCTTAACAATTCTTTTATCAGAAGGGGATCTACCTGTTTTTTCTCCTGATATACAACATAATGCTCCAGTACTTGTTATATAAGAATTGGACTCATACTTTAATGCCATTTCATATAGAAATGCAGGTGTAGAATTGTGATGTATGCTATTAACATGTAAGCCTAATTCATGTACCTCTTCTGTTAACTTTGATTCTTGTTCCTGACTTAAAGTTAATATATCCTTTGAACTCATTATTGGTCCTATTGGTTTTTTGTATATTAGGTTCCTTCGTATTTCTTCAATTATTATTTTCTTTATATCTTCCATTTTCTCTGATAAGTCGCATTCAGATAATTTCTCAATCATTTTTACTATGATACTATAATATTAATTCTAATTATTAATTTAATGATATTTAGAAAAGGAAAAATAAAAAAAAAAAAAATTAATAATTTTTTAAGTTATGTAAATCTTTTAGAATTTTCATTTTAAAAAAAAAAAATTAATTTTTTCTTAAAATTTTTGTTGAATAAATAAATAAAAAAAGAAAAACTAATTAAGAATTTTAAAGGCATGTACTAAAAATTTCAATATAAAAAACAAAAAATGCATATCTTTCTATAACACATGTAATACTTGAAGAGATAAGAAGAAAAAAGAGACTAATGAGACATAAAATAATATACACCAAACAAGTAACAATATAACACTAAATAGATTAATGGTGATAATTTAAATAAATAAGAAGATACATAAAATTAACTCTTAGGACATTCTTACAATAAATATTATATAAAAATAAAAAATAATACTTAAGAATATGTAAAATAATTAAAAAAAATATATTTAATAAAATTTTTTTTTTTTCCTAAAATATGCATTTTTTTTTTTTTTATTCAAAAACTTAAAAAAATTAATAATTAATAATCTTTTACTTTTTTTGTATTTTTTGTTTTTCCATAAACATAGAAAAATAATCACGAAACAGTAATTAAATTAAACATCCTTTTTATAAATATATTTATTTTTCAATTTATCCCATGCTCCATATTTTATTATTTAAAAAATTTCGGATTTACTTAGTTCCTATTCAATATAGGGATTACAATTTTTAAAATTCAATTTGTACTGTGCTTAAAAAATTTAAGTATATTTTTTTTTTTTTTTTTAAAAAAAAAACAAAAAAGTTAGTAAATTATTTTTCAAAATAAAATTTGAATCATAAAATTATGTAAAAGTTTTCTTTTTTTTTTAGTGAAAAGTTTAACATTTTTGATTTTAAGAGCAAGTTTTTTTATTTTTAAAATAAAAATTTAATAAATAAATAAAAATAGAAAATATAATAAAAAGGTTTATTATGTTTTTGAGAATTTTCATATAACATATATTTGAAAAGTGAAAGTTCAATAGTATTTTTAAAATTTAAACTTTTAAAAGACTGTTATTTAAATAAAAAAAAAAAAAAAATGTATATAAGAGAACAAGATGAAGATATTTCAACTGAACCTGTAGTTTATATATGTGGAGGTATTCTTTATAAAAAATTATTTTTTTTTTTAAAACATTTATTTTTTTTGTTTATTAATTTTATTTATATGGAAAATTTTTTTAATATTTTTTTTTATTACTAATTTATTTATTGTTAGAATGTGGGATTGACACTGTAATACCGCCAAATGCTTCACTTAGATGCAAAAATTGTGGATCAAAAATATTCTTTAAAAAAAGAAGTAGAAGAGGTAATTGAGTTTTAAAATTCTTATAAAATTTTTTTTATTTTCATTGATTTTTTTTTAATTTTTTTTTTTATAGTTATGCAATATGAAGCCCGCTAAATTATTAATGGATTTGTTTACTAAAATTTGTTATCTTTCCTATATTTTTTTTTTTTAAATATTTGGTATATAATTTTTTTTTAATTTTACAATTCTCCTTTTTAAATGTTTTGATAAATTATTAAAGCTGTAAATTTTTTATTAAAATATATGTTCACAATTAGAAATTTTTTGTTTTCTATAATTTACAAAACAGTCTTTCACACAAAAAAAAAAAAAAAAAACTTTAAGCATATATATATATATATATAACCTAGAACAATTTATACTGAAGAAAAAAAATTTACATATTTATCTGTAAATAAGAGTTTATAAATTTAATGAAGTAATAATACTCATTAATGTATATGAATGAACATCCTTTATATTTTAAGTAAAATGGAAAGTAAAAATAACCAAATAGAAAATAGAAAAAAAAAAATATAAATAAAAAATAAATATGTAGGTAAAAAATTCTTTGTCTGAATAAATAGTTTCTTTTTTATATGCAAAAATGCAATATAACTGTATATGATTTTATTTTAATCCTTATTTATTTATGCAACTAATCTTTTTCTTATATGAGCTTGAACCCTAATAAGTGAAGGAATATTTTCATTAACTCTTTGTTTATACTTATGTTTAAGAATTGCAGCTTCAATAACACATACACATTTTTCCCATTCTATTAGTTTTTCTCTTTGGATTTTGGTTAATAATTTTGCTGCATCTTGTTTCAAAAACACCATTGTTTTTCCAATTTTAAGCATATCCTTAGGAATTCCTGATGCATCCAATAACTTCATGCATCTTGTTTTACAGTCAAGAGATTCGTCTTCAGCAATGGCAATGTCTACAAATTTAAATTGATATAAGAATTCTTCAAATAACCTTCTATATGAATATCCTAATTGACGTAGAACAAGTGCTTCTAAAATTGATAATGCATGAAGCTGAATTAATATTTTTGGTTCACACCACTCCAGAGGTTTTTTGTTCTCATTTGGTTTAATACAACGGATAAAATGTGGTTCTGTACTATTTATTAATGCCATTAATGATGTTAATTGATTTAAGAACTGGGAACCTATTAAAGATCCCTTAGCCATTTTACCTTTTTCTATGATTTGTCCTTCAAACAACTGTTTTACTATTTCATTTTCAGAATTGTTGATTAGTTCTACAAGTTCTGCTCTTAAAACATCTTTGTTTTTAAGTAAAAAATTATCTGCACAGTATTGAATTGGACCTATAGTGTGTTGTATTATAAAATTTCTATTTGATGCAACTTTAGCGGGAGTAAATTTATCGTTTCCTTTTAGGTTTGTAGTACAAGCACTAACAAATTTTTCGTCTGTTCCTCCAGGTGCAAGACATTGATCTTCTAAATATGAAAGCACAGATTTTCCTTTATCACAAAGTACATCAATTACTGCTTTGTTACTTGTATACTTCAATTCAGCTGTTGAAATTCCTTCTTCTCTATATAATTTAGATTCTCTTTCAAAAACAATATCAATGAAATTTTTTTGAAGCATTTCATTTGTGATATTAATAAATAGTTGTTCAAGTGAGTTGTTTTTAAATACTTCAAAACCAAATATATCTAACATACCCATAAATACTTTAAATCCATCTTTTGGTTCAATTCTACTATTTAGATGCTTAATGATCCATAAAAATAATTTTTCATACATAGCTTTGCATAGAGATGATTTCAACACTTCTGCATCCTTTTTATTCCATCTTCCTTCAATTTTATTTCCACCAGCTACAGTTATTTTAATTAATAGTTCTTTCTTTACTGATTCTGGATCTAGAAACATTAATTCACATGCTTTGTTGAATGTTTGCATATCTGCATCATTAATAGCTGCGGCGTCAGTTAAACCAGATTCTGCTTTTTCAATTAATTTAACATTTCCCAATGTTAAAATACCAGCTACAATGGAAAAAATTACTTCTATTTGTTCATCACTTAAATCCATATTTTTTAATGATTCAAGAACTTCTTCAAAATCCTTTTTATCATTCACACCATCTACTTCTGTTGAATTAGGATTCAAAAGTGCGTAATCTTTAATACCTTTCAAACCAAATTTAGATCTCATGTTATTATTTGCACCCTTAAGAAATTGATAAAAGATATGGTATGACCTTTCATTATCATCTTGGGTTATGATTCTTGATTTTTCTAATAAAAAAGCAACTACGGAACCATTCTTAATACCTCCTTCGTGGGATATAATCAGTTGCATGAAACGACCAAAACGTGATGAATTGTTATTTCTTATGGTTTTGGCATTTCCAAAAGCTTCAAGAACAGGATTAGCTGCCATAATTGCTGTTTGTATACGTAAGTCCATGCTTCCACTTTTTGATGAAGCAAAATATCTCATAATTTGTTTTGTTGCTTCTGTTTTTCCTGCACCAGATTCACCTGAAACAATAATAGTTTGACTCTTGTTAACACCATGAAGATTTGAAAGAGCTTCTCTTGCACTTGAAAAAATATGTGGTGGTAATCTAGAATAATCCACTGTATCACGATACTTACGAATCCATTCATTAGTTGTGTTCCCTAAGTCTTTATATGGATTTATTGCAACAATAAGTGGAACAGCTGTGGTATATATTTGGTTTTTTAAATACCTTTGCTTTAAAAAATCTAGTACACATGGAATATTTGTGTGATTTAATAAACCTATATCACCAAACGACATAGGATCTACTTGTGAATTACAATTCCATGCATGAGTTGCTGCAATTTCATATGGCTACGAAAGAAAAAGAAAAGAATTAATAATTATAAAATTAGTATTTAATTTTAATATTTTCATTATATTTAAATCTCAATATAAATTTTTTTTTTTCTTTTTTTTTATAATTAATAACAGTTCCTTGTCCTGGAGGATCAATTTGAACAACAGTTAATTTTTCTTTTGTAGACCCTTGTTGTACAACACATTTAACAAACATAATATTAGGATCTTTTTCAATTGATGGAGAAATATCAGTCCATACTTGATATCCCTATATAATAAAAAAAATAAGAATTTATAATAACAAAGCTTATAATTTAGTTAATACAAAAAACACATAAATATCATAAAACATTTTAAATAATTATTTATTATAACCTTAAAAACTGTTCCACTTTTATCAAAAGCTTCAATATTTGAAACTCTTCTAACAATTTTACCTGCAGTTTTTACTTCCTCATTTGTAACAGCCATTTTTTGTATAAGAAAGTTAAAAATAAAACAAAAAATATAGTGTAAGTTGAAAAAACGTAAAAAGAACAGATTCAAGTACTAAAAAAAAAAAAAAGAATGAAAAAGAGAAAATTTAAAAGTATATAATAAGAAAAAAAACAAAAAAAAACACAAGAACAAAAATTACAAAAAAAATATTTTTTTTTAGCAACGAATTAAAACAACATTTTAATACAAAAATTAGGAGCCAGGATTTTATGTTAATAATAATATAAAAAAGAAAAGAAAATTACTACATAAAAATAAAAAAAAAAAGTAAACTTAACAATAAATAAAATATTAATATGTTAATTATATGAACATGTAATTTTTTTTAAATTTTTTTTTTGTTAAACTCCGAAGCTTTTTTTTTTTTTTATATTCCATGCATCATATATTTTTACATATAACTAAAGAGTGTGCAAATAAAAAAAAAAAAAAAAAAAGATTAAGCTATATTTTTAAAATAAATATTATAATGTAAAATATAGAAAAATATTTATATTTAAATCTGAATATGATATAATTTATATGAAAAAAAACTTTTTGAAATAAAAAAAAAAATTAATTTTTTACGGTAGAATTTAAATTTTGTAGAGAATGTTGCGTAGAAAATTTTTATTAAACAGTTGTTCTCAAGTTATAGCTTGCTCATTTTTTGCAAATGTAAAATATTAAATATTTACATTTTTTTTTTTTTAATTAAGGATTTTGGATCACTTCTAACTATATTTTTAAATATTCATAGGTAATATAAAAAAAAAAAAAAAATTATGTTCTCTATTTTTTCATACTTTACAAGCAATAATGCTGCTTTTTATAAACAATAATTTTTTTAAAATTATACAAATATATAATTATTTCATATGATAAGATATCTTCTTAAGTTATTTTATAAATGTTTAATTTTATAATTTTTTATATATTTTTATATTTACATTATTTAGAATGGAATAATTTAAAAATATAATTTTTTTTTAACAGCGTTTAGTAAGATGCTGAATTTACACCTAATTTTTTTTTATAACTTCATATTATATTTTGAGAAAATTAAATAAATTACCTATTTATTTTATTAAGATTCAATAAATTATAAGAAAAAAATATATGCATTAAGTTTTAGTTATTTTATATATAAATACTTGAGAGTAAATAAAAGATTTTTTTTTAATGCCTCAAAAAGAATGGAAGTAATAAAATTTTTAGGAATAATAATACATTCATACATACTTTTTATTTTTAATTTTTCTGAGAAAAGCTAGTCTTAAATAAATTTGATTAAATAAATTTATTATTTTCTTTGTCTATTGAAAAAATTATTTATTACGCTTTTATTGTTGAACATGTGATGACAAAATTTAATTTTAAAAAGAACTTATAGAAAAAGTTTTAATTACATAAAATATAATTTCTTTTATTGTTTAAATTTTTAATGTCTTAAAATTTGTAATAAAAATAAAAAAAGTTAAGGACCATTTATTTGAATTTATTCGACATGTATATATAGCTTAATTTTTCTTTTTTCTTTAATAATGCATGTTAAAAAATTTATACACACTATATGAGAAACTTTTTTTATTTATATTTGCCTTATTTATTAATTTACACTATTTTTCAATTTTAAAAATAGTTTATATATTATATACATTAACTTTTCGGTAGTTCAATTTGAAAGAAATTTTTTAAGAATCATGAAAAGTTAAATTATAAACTATTTTTTACCTTTGATTCTTATAACTAGCTGTAGTTCTTTGCATGCTCATATTATTTGTATAAATATTCATTGAGCTCTTGTTCATACCTCTTTTTAACAAGTTTACTTTAAACGTTGTATATTTTTTAAAAAAAAATATTACACAACCTAATATCATTAACCTATATGGTGACCAAAAATGTTCCATAAAATGATTTAATTTTTACTTATAGAATTAAATCTTGAAATAAAATATTTCAACGTAATATTTGTATTTCTCGGTAACTTTTCTTTTAAAATTGAAACATATATTAGATAATTTTTTTCTTATTCTTCCAGATATTTTTTAAATATGATGAAATTTTTTTTTAATTAACATTTTTATTTAAAAAAATTTTAATTGAAGACATAATTATACATTTAAATATAGAAAAAAGCAAATGAAATAAAAGAATATCTTAAAGCCAATTTATGATTTTTTTTACATTCTGTCTAATATTTGAAAAAATGAAACACAAAATTTATTTATTTTTTTTTTTAACATTATTAAAATATGCATTATCTTTGAGATTAAGTAAATTATTAAAATTATTCTAAACTGAAAACGTTTTAAGTTTTTATAAAAAAAAAAGAAATAAGAAAAGATAAAACATAAGAAAACATTTAAAAGAAAATGTATAAATATTTACAAAAAATAAAGCAAAATTTATTTTTTTTATAGATAACACTTTATCAAAAAAAAATAATTTTGTAGCTGAAAAATACTTCAGAAAAGAAAATGATAATGAAAATTTGAAGTTTCAGGTAAAGCAATTAAAATATATGTATACTAGTTAAAATAAAAAAGGAGTTTTTTCATTTTATATAATTATTATTTATTTTTTTCTTTATTAGATTATAGATGATCTTGAAAAAATAAATGAAGAATTTAGCAATGATGTAAATACTGCAAAAATTTTTGTAAGAGATACTTTTCTTGATACAGAAGCTTCATTTAAAGAGATATCGGATGATGTTGTAAAAATGTTTGTTAAAAAATATAGAATATTATATTTTTAACATATATTTTTTTTTTTCCTTTAATATCTATCATAAATTCCATTTATATTCCATAATATAAAAAATTATATTAAGGAAAAATTATTAATATAAAGTATTATAAAATTTTGTTTCCACTATATATATGGATTTATTTTTTTTTTTCTTTTATCAGCATTTCAAAATATAGCTTTTCTATTGATGAAAAACTAAATGTTTTAAATGGGTTACTTCAAGAATTTATAGAAAGTATTATTTCTTTTCATCACAAAAAAAAAAAAAAAAAAAAAAAATTCATAAATCATTATTACATTTTTTTTAATATTAAAAATAATTTTTTTACTTTTATATTAATATGTACCTTTTAATGTTTGTAATGCAAAAACATTTTAAACTTTATTGAATGCGAATAACACCTATTTTTTTTTACAGATAACAAAAGTTCCATTTTCAATTCGTCAGATGAGAATATGATCAGTCATAAAAATAAAATTAAAGAAGTATCCGATTCTATTTTATGTAAATTGAAAAAATTAATAGAATTAAATATATTCAATAAATATCACGCAATTTTAAAATTTGGAAATCAAAATATAAAAAATGAAACATTAGAAGCACTGAGGATTGAAAGAAAACTTTCTGATAAATTAAAAAAAGAGTTACTAAAATATAAAACGTTAGAAAATGAAGATATAAAAGAATCAGAGTCAACTAATTTTTTAAAATCTGTTTATAACAAATTTATTGTTAAGCTAGATGAGATCATTAATGAAATGAGCAAAGAATTAAGTCATATATTATTATAACACATTTTAAACTAAATTTTACAATTTTTAAAACACATAGTTCCTATATAAAGTTAAATAGAAATTATTTTTGAAAAAGAAATTCCTTAATTCTTTCAACAATGTAATAAGTTGTATCTTTTAAAACTATTAAATAAAAAAAAAAAAAAAAAAGACAAATGTATGTGATATGTTATATTTTTTATAAAAAATATTAAAGATCTTAAAAAAATTAATGATTTTTTGTTATTTTTTGTTTCTGTTTTTGATTTTTTATATTTCATTTTATTTAATTTTTTTATTATTTTTTGTTAATTTTATTATTTTATGTATTTTTAATTTCTTTCTGAATTATTTTTAGCAATTTTTTTTGGTTTGTTTGATACAATTGTGATTATACTTAATTTTTCGGTTTTAATGTTTTTTAATGTTTCATTTTTTATATATATTTTTAATAGTATTAAAAATAATTTAATATATAATAATGGGAAAAATTAACGTTTATTTTGTAAAAATCTTTACCTTATAATTTATCTTTTACATAAAATGATTACTTTTATTTTTACTTTTTTTTACTAGTATCCATTTTTATATATTATTGTTTTTTATATTTTAACAATATTTTGTAACAAAATAATTTTATACTACCTTCAAAACTAATTTAATATAAAATAGTTCTATGTATAAATATATTAAGGTAATTTTATTTCTTAAATGTTAGTTTTCATTTTTTATAAAAAATATAAAAATTAAATAATTTAATTATGCTAGTTAAATAAAATTAATTAAAATTAGTAATAGAAGGAAAATAAAAAAGTTAATTTTGCGAATTTTTTATAATGGATCAATAAGATATATGATAAATAAAAATATACATAAAAGGAATAAATTTAAAAATATATCTTAAATAACTGAGGTTTAATTTTTTAAATCTCCTAAACGTTTAAAAAATTTTATTATATATTATAAAAGGATAATAACTTTATATATATAAAAAATAAATAAGAAAATTTTATAAATATTTGAAAAAGAAAAAAAAATACACTATATTTTCAATTAGCCTTTTTTTATTTCTTAAAAAAAAATTTACGTCAGCATAATATTTTTTACCTTTGTTTATTTACATAAATGTAAAGGAACAAAATTTATTAAAAATAATTGTTTGTATATAAAATATATTAACATATTTAATGGTATATATGCAATTTTATTTTTTATTTTTTTAAAATGATACATAGAAAAAGAAATGAGCATATATAAATGTATTTGTACGAATATGTTTGTTTATATTATTGTAATTTACGCATAATTTTTTTTTTTTTATATTTTGTATCAATGTTATAAAAATCTAAAAAAAAAAAAACTAACAAAAGAAAATAACGCAAACAAAAAGTTAATGAAATATATAGTGAATAAATATATGTATAAATCTGATAAACCTCTAAAGTATTTCACAAGTTATAGTTATTAAGCATATTTTAGTAGATTTTTATTTTTGAATAAAAAAAAAAAAAAAAAAAAGTAATAACTATTAAATTATATTTATATATAAAAATATAAAAATATTATGGAGTATATCTCAAATGATGAAAGTTCAAATGAAATATTACAAGAAAATATGGCTGGAGAAATAGAATTATCTGATACATCCTTTTGCAATGCTATTAAAAATGATGACTTTAAAGAAGCAGAATACATAAAAGAAGAAAATGAAGAGAATTACATCTTAGATGGAGAAAAACAAAAAGAGAAAGAAGATGAAAATGAAGAAGAGGAGGAAGAAGAGGAAGAAGAAGAGGAGGAAGAAGAGGAAGAAGAAGAGGAAGAAGAAGAAGAAGAGGAAGAAGAAGATGATGATGACGATGATGATGACGATGATGATGATGATGATGACGATGATGATGATGATGACGATGATGAATATGATGAAGACGATTTTAACGAAGCTACGGTAAGAGAAAATATATAAAATAAAATGATAATAAAAGTATTAAATAGGACAAAATTAAATGTAAAAAAAATAAAATAAAACACTACAACAATGAAATAGATACAAAAATATTAATGGAAATATAAATTTATATATTTAAAAACATAAAAAAAATATTCTTATTTTTTCTTCTTTTTGACTCTAAGATTAAATTAATTTATATATATATTTATTATTTTATTTTTTTTAAATTTTTTTGACAAATTATTTTTTTGTAAATTATATTCATGATTAATTTTTATGTATTTATCCATATATACATTTATATTTTTCGTTATCTACATAAAAAAAATTTTCTTTTATTTATTATATTTCAGGTTTCTTGGATTGAATGGTTTTGCCAATTGAAACAAAATATATTTTTAGTAGAAGTAGATGAAGATTTTATAAGAGATGAATTTAATTTAATTGGATTACAAAATAAGGTTCCTCATTTCAAGAAGTTATTAAAAATTATACTGGATGAAGATGATGATGAAGATGATGATGACGATGAAGATGATGATTATGATGAAGATGACGATGAAATAAATCGTGGTTCTGAAGAACTATATAAAAATAAAGATATATATGAGCAGAATGCTGCTTGCTTATATGGATTGATACATAGTCGCTTTATTTTAACATCTAAAGGTTTAGCATTAATGAGAGAAAAATATAAAGCTGGTATTTATGGTACTTGCCCAAGTATTTATTGTGATAATGCAAAGCTATTACCAACAGCTATATCTGAAGTTCCTAAATTTTTAAGTCCCCTCTTATATTGTCCTAGATGTTGTGAGACATATTATCCACATAAAAATTCCTTACTTAATCAATTAGATGGATCCTATTTTGGAACTAGTTTTGCATCTTTTTTTGCTTTATCATTTAATATTACTTCTGATAAGAAGAAAGTTTATTATACCCCACAAATTTGTGGATTTACAATAAATAGAGACATGAGAGAAACGTTATATATGGATGTTAATAAAGATAATAGTGAATCATCAGAAGAATATTCATAATCTTATTTATCAATAAATAATATTAAAATAATAAAATACTTTTTTATTGTAATAATAACAATTATAATAATAAAACATAGAATAATAGTTATTCTAAGTTAACAAATAGTTTTTATAATAATAAAAATAAAAATGAATTATTATTATACCAAGAGCATAACTTATTTTTATAATTATATTAATTAAAATTATTATAATAGTAATAATATTATAATATAATAATTGTCTTTAAATTACTATTTTAATAGAAACATTGATCAAATTAGACATAATAATTAAAAGTAAAAAAATTAAAAAATATATAAAAAGATAAACCATAGAAAAATTAAATTTGTATCCTCATTTTTATATTAATATTTATTCATTATAAATTTATATATATATATATATATATATATATATATATATATATATATATTTTTTTTTTTTTTTTTTTCATTTATAATAAATATAACATTAAAGATTTCTACATGAGCCTTTTAAATTTTTTAAAATATTATTAAAATTGTTTTATAATAGTACAAGCAAATGTGCACTTTAATGGTATTTATAAAAAGAAGATTTATTTTTTTTTTTCTTTTTAAATATATTATTTTATAAATTTATATGTACATTTTTTATTTATGTAAATGATTATTTTATTTAATGACTAAAATGAATTTTTTGTAATATTATATATTCTCTTTTCTTTTTAAAGATTATATAAAAAAAAAAAAATTTTTAAAATATTTTGTAGTACTAAAAAGGATATAAGTTGTATTAAATAATATTTTTATTAAACTTTTTTTATTTTATTTTTTTGTTGTAAATGCAATATTTTGAATCAGAATAAAAGAAAAAAAAAAAATTATATATATATATATATAAATGAACTCAAAAAATACTTGTTATATTCTATAATAAAATTTAACAAATAATATTTAAAATAAAAATTTCAATAAAAGTTGAATAAATAATATACATTTTTTTAAATTGTTAAAAAAAACAATTTATGTAGTAAACACAAATTATTATTAAAATAAAGGAGTTGTATTATACATTTTTTTTTTTTCATTTATCTTGCATTATTTATATGTGCCAAAAGAAAAAAAATTAATTTTTATTATTTATAATTTTTTAAATAAATTTTTGAAAAAGATATTTTTTTATTTATTTGAGTCTGTTTCATTTTTTAAACGTTCATGTAAATTTTTAATCCTAACTGTTAGATTATGATCCGGACCAAAAGTATTTTGAGCAATTGTATATGATCTAATTAGACAAGTTATAGCTGAATTTAAATCATTTAAACCAATATATGAAAAAGATAGGTTATAATAGCACAATGCTATCTGTTCATTTTTATTTAATTCTATAGGTGAAGATATTAAAATTCTTATACATTCCTCAAAGTATTCCACAGATTCATTATATTTTTTTTTATGTTGATATAAAGAACCAAGATTGTTTAAGGTATCAATAATTAAATAACTTTTATCTTTGATTATTAGTTTTTTATTTGCCAAAGACAACTGTAAAAATTCTTCCGACTTTTCTAAATCTCCTAGATCTTTATAAACAACACCTATATATGTTTGAATATTAGCACACATTATACTCAATTCTCCATTAATTTTTTTAAAAATTTCGTAGCTTTTAAAATAATGATTTTTAGAATCATTTAATAGTAAATTTTTATGTTCTAATATTGCTAGTTCTAAATAGTGTTTTCCAATGTCTTCTGAACAATATGAATGTGTTAGAAGTTTTAATTTTAAGCTTTCTTTAACTAAATCAATCAACTTTTCTGTGTCTTCATTTTTTAATTCAAAACCTGAATTTATATACGTATGTTTTGGCCCATTATAATAAATTTTTTTGTATTCACAAAAATTGCGAAAAACTAAAAATTTTTTGTTTTTAGAGAAACCGTTAATCAGATTTTTTAATATAACCATTTTCTTTTTATTTACAAGATGGAAATTTTTCCAAACAAGTATGCAAACAATATATACATCCCTTAAATTTAATTATATAAAAATAGATATAAACCTTTATATGTTTTTATATTCATTAAAAATTTAAATGCTATTTAAAAATATATTTATTTTATATATATATTTACAAATATTTTACTCAATAAATAAAGTAAAAAAAATTAAAATATTTAACCATTTTTAACTAAAAAAATAAAAAAAAATATACAATAAAAAAAAAAAAAGCTATTTCTAAATTAACTGATTAATTCTTTTTATCTTAATTCATTTTAACAGTTTTCTTAATTAAAAGAGTATTTTTAATCTAAAATATTTCCATATTTTTTGTAATATAAAAAAAAATTTAATATTTACTAATTAAAACATAAAATTATAGTTCTAAATTATATTGTTACTTTTTCATTATATATAATTTTAAGGGTATAATAATTTTTTATTCTTTATAATTATATATTACTATATTTTTTTTTTTTTTTTTTTCTTCATTTAGTTAAACACCATTATTTCTTATGAAATAAATTTATTATTATTTTTTTCAAGATGAAAAATTAATATAGAAATAAGTATAAAGAAAGTTATTTAAAAAATATACATAAATAAATTATAATTTTCTATTTTATTTATTTTATGTTATTTTAATTTTTTTAATGGAAAGATGTACAACAGGTGTAATTCTTTAAGATATATTTGAAGAAGATTTATAATCAAGAAGATAAAAGTCTTTAAATTTCTACAAGTTATCTATAAGATGCATTAAAATGACTTAGAAGTTTTGAAACTTTTTTTTTTTTTTAATTGTATATAAATATTACTTAAATATAATTAAGAAAAATGAAAATGTTTTTCTTAATACGCAGAAGATTAACATGTGAAGTTAACAATTATGAAAATATATCAAATTCATTTTTAATTAAGTTTTACTTATATAATTTTTCTAAGATAAATATTGATGCATATATTAAGTTGATAACCTTACTTAATAACTATGAAAATATTACTGAATCTAATAATATTTTAAATGCTCCCTATTTTAAAAATCCTAATTTAGTTTTATATAAATATTTTCAATTTTTTAATGAGAAAAATGCAAAAAAGAAGCTATTAAATTTGTTAATGTTGCTGTATTCAAGAAATATAAGAGAGTACCAAGACCAAAAAAACTTTTTTTACAACTCATCTATATATGTTCATAATTTTGTTTTCAGAAAGTTTTTTTATTTTCACTCAAGTTTTTATTTTAAAATAAAAGAAAATAAAGAAACAGTAAATGTGATAAATAAATATAACTTATATACTGATTTCTTTTTGTATTCATTGGATTTTTATTTATTTCATTTATCTAAAAATTGTAACATTCTAAGCATTGAAAATTTAAATATCCTATCAAATATATATTCAAATATAAATATAACTAGGGGATATGAATATCATTTACATTTAGATGATAATATAAATGGAAAATTTTATAAATACGATAAAGTAGATAAAGTTACTACCTATAAGGATAGTAACAATAATAAATACGAAACGTTTGAAGATAATACTGAAAAAAATATTGATACAAATAACCAGATTTCAACTGCGTTCGATAATAATTTAAGTAATAAAATATGCTTATTATATATATATATTTCTAAGAGCATAATTTATCAAACCCATACATACATATTGAATAAAAGGAAAGTGTTTCAAAAAGAAATTTCCATTAAAGAAATTATGTTAAATAATGTTAATGCTTGTAAGAACATTTTAAATAAAATTTTAAATAAAAGCATAAAAGAGCAGTATATTAAATATAAAATTTTAAAAAAAAAACATAATGATAAACTTTTAAATTTAAATATTTTGAAAAATTATTTTAACGCTGTTAAATTCTTAAATATTATAAATATAAAAAAATATATCTATATTATAATTTATTTATATTTTAACTCTATTTTATTTAATAAATCTATCTATTACTCTTCATTAATATTTTGTTTATTACAGAAATATAATTTACAATATACTTATATTTATAATATTTTGCTAATAAAGTTTAATTTGTTTTTTTGGAATTACAAGATTCTTAATGACTTCAATAAGATAATAATTCTTGATGCAATTAATAAATATATTGACACAATTTTAATCTCCCAAATTAAAAAAAAAGACAAAAAAGAAAATGATATAAACTTTTTATTTCCTGATGATTTTTATAATGATGTTTACAAAAAGGAATATTTAGAAAATTTAAAAATATATAATATGTTATACAACAAAACATATAAATATAAAAAAAATTCATATCATGTTTTAACATATTTTGAATACAGTATTTTTAGTTTGTTCAAATACTTATTTTACAATATAATGTGTGTGGAGAAAAATAAAAACGATAAAACAAAACATTTTCTGGAAAATTATATATATAAAAATAAGTGTTTTGTAAGTAAAAAATATAATAATTTCTACTTGTATTTATCAGATATACTTTTATCAAATATTATACTCTTATCAGTTTATGTTCAAAATTGTATGCCAATCCTTTTTTCCTTAATGCAAAAAGCTTCTATTGTATCAACAAAAAAAATGAAAAAAAATAAGTCATCTCTTTTTTATAAGAGATCGATTTTAATAATGAATGAAGATGATAATAAATGTAATTCCTTAAAAAGAAAAAATTCTCTTTTATTAAGAATATTATACAAAAATGCTTATAACAATTATACTTACAAAAAATACGTAAGAGAAAAATTAAAAAATGTAAACCCTTTTTTATTATTTTTATTTAATGTATACAAAATATTTAAACTAAAAATTATTAATAATCATAATATTGAAGAAAAACAACAAAATAAAAATAAAAAATATATGGAAGAATCATATATATTTAATAATATAAAAAAAAATAAAAATAACAAAATTCAAACTAGTCTAACCCACTATTATATAAGCAGTAATTTAAAAAAACTAAATGATTCTAATTTGTTTAATGAGAAAAATATTTTAACCTTTTATTGTGATATATCTTTTAACAATAATATAATAGAAGTAGATGGCCCAAAGCATTTTTTTATTTATTACAGTTTTCCTAATAATTCTGAAAACTATTTTAATCCTTTCATTTTAAAAAATAAGGATATATTTGATTATTATTATGTTTTTCCTTTTTTTTTTAATAAAACAGGTGTCTTAAGTATAAAGGATAAGAACAATAATTACTATTTATATAATGACAAAAGTATTAAGAAAAATTTTTTTTTGTATATTTATGGTTATATTATAAAACATATAAATTATAATGACGATAATATTACAGATTATAAGTATTTGTATAATATAATATTTAAAAAAAAATGTCAACTTTATTTGATTTAATACAACTTTATATAATATCATTTTTTATGTTTAATGAAAAGTACATGTTATATTTTATGGTTGTTTTTTTTTTATTACATGTGTTAATAAAATTTCTTAACTTACATAAATTGTACATATAAATATATTATTTCAACTTTATATTATAAATACACTTTTTAAAAGTTTTAAGTATCTTAAATTTAACTTCTATTCATTTGTATATTATAACTTAATAATTTTTTTTTTTTGTTAATTTTTAAAGTTTTTTTTTTTTTTTTTAGCCTCATACATTTTTAAAACAATTTCATAAATTTTAAAAGTTAGAAGACAGTTTAAAATATTTTTAAATGTGTATAATGAAAAATGTCATAAAAAAATAATTAAACTTCGTTTCTATTTAAGACATAATTTAAAAATAAAAAAAAAAAGTAACGATCATAAAAATATTTTCTTAAAATGTAAAATAATTTTGTAACACTTTTATACAAAATGTGGATAAATTAACATATATATGAATAAAAATTTAAATAAACAAAAAGAAGAATAAACCATTAAAAAAAAAAAAAAAATTAAACGGATTTAAAAAAAAAAAATTTTTATATTAGATATAATTAAATACATTACATCTATTTAATATAAAAATTATTATATAACTTAATTTTTTATTTTAAAGAAGCATTTATGTTATATAAATATGTTTACACATTTTTCCTATTATTAGTACTCATTAAAATATAATCAATAATATTTCAATTTTTCTTTTACTAATATTTGTTAAAAATTATATCTTTTTTATAATGTTTACTTTCACAATTTCCATTTTAATATACTTTTAGTTACACATATGAATTTAAGTCTTAATACGACATTTTTACTAACTTATTAAGTATATATTAAAAGGTATAATTATATTTTAATTTTTAACAATGTTTTTATCTAGTTATTTTTTTAAAAATACTTATGAAAAAGATTTAAAGTATTTCATTTAATAATATTTTTTTTTTCTTACAAAATTTTTAAAACATAATTCAAATATATATATTTCTTTCACTATATATATATTTATACATTTCTATACTATTGTAAATTTTATTTTCTTCTTTTTATATCATTTGTTCTAAATTTTTTTAGAATTTTTTTTTTCATTTACTTTTATTTTAGTGTTTTACTTTCAAATTTTTTTTTTTTCATTTACTAATGATCTTAAAACATACTTTAATATTCCACCATTTTTAAAATATTTTACCTCAATTTCTGTATCAATTCTACATAAAACCTCAAAAGTAATAATTTTTCCTTTCTGATTCATTTGAACTGTTATATTTTGTTGTGGTTTTAAGTTCCCTTCATTCAATAAAATGGTAAAGGTTTCTGTACCATCCATATTATAATAATTAGCATTTTCATTATTTAAAAATTGTAAAGGTAAAACACTCATACCTATTAAATTACTTCGATGAATTCTTTCAAAGGATTCTGCTAATATAGCTTTTACTCCTAATAAATAAGAACCTTTAGCTGCCCAATCTCTTGAACTTCCGCATCCATACTCTTTTCCAGCAACAATAATAACGTCAACATTATCTTCTTTATATTTCATAGCTGCCTTATATACTGACATTAATTCATTTGTTGGTATATGTATAGTATTTGGTCCTTTATCTGGACATAATTTATTTATTAATCTAATATTTGCAAACGTTCCTCTAATCATAACTTCATCATTACCTCTTCTAGATCCATAGGTATTTAAATCTTCATCTTTTATTCCCTTTGTTTTCAAAAATTTGTAAGCTTCTGATGTTTTATGTATCATACCAGCTGGTGATATATGATCTGTAGTTATACTGTCACCGAGAAATAATAAAACATGTGCATCTTTAATATCTTTAACTTTTTCTGGCTCCAATTTCATATTTTCAAAAAATGGTGGTTTGTGTATATAAGTGGAATTTACATCCCATTCATATAACTTATCTTTCTTTATTTTTATATCATTCCAATATTTGTTTACATATTTTATATTTTCATATATATCAGTATACATTTTAGCTTTTAAATATTTTCTTTCATATTCATTTATTTCATCTTTTTTTGGAATCAAATCTAAAGCATTAATAGTTTTTCCATTATATTTAAATGTATAGTTACTTAAATCAACATTAACATTACCTATAATACTAAACAATACTACTAAGACTGGAGAAGCCAAATAATTTGCTTTTACTAAAGGATGAACACGTCCTTCAAAGTTTCTGTTTCCTGATAAAACAGATGAAACAATTAAATCATGCTCATTAATAACATCTTCTACTTCTTTATCTAAGTTTCCACTATTTCCAATGCAAGTCATACATCCATAACCAACATTATAAAATCCTAATTGCTCCAAATAATTTAAAAGTCCTCCAGCTTCCAGGTATTTTTGAACAATTTTAGATCCTGGAGATAAGGAACTTTTAATGTATGGTAAGCTTTTTAATCCCATTTCTACTGCTTTTTTTGCTAACAATCCAGCAGCTATCATGGAAGAAGAATTACTAGTATTAGTACAAGATGTAATGGCAGCCAAAACTACACTACCATGGGTTAAAGTGTAAGTTTTATCATTGTATTGAAAAGAAATTTCTTTACTTCTTTCTTCTTTTGGAACATTATATCCCTTAAAACCAATTGGAGATTCTAAACACATAGTAAAATCTTTGTGTAAATTAGACAATAGGACATTATCATGAGGTCTCTTGGGACCAGATAAAGATAAACTTAGTTTTGACAAATCTAAAGTGTATACTTCTGTGTATTCAATATTATCTGAATAATTGTTGAATAAACTGTTAGCCATTAAATATTCACGTATTAAGTTTACTTTCTCTTTATCTCTACCTGTTTGTACAAGATATTCTAAAGTTGCATCATCAACTCCAAAAAATCCAACTGTAGCACCATATTCAGGAGCCATATTTGCAATAGTTGCTCTATCTGCTAATTTTAAACTTTTTAAACTAGGACCAAAAAATTCTACATATTTATTAACAACACCAACTTCTTTTCTTAAAAATGAAGTAATATATAAAACTATATCTGTACTTAATAAATAATTAGATAACTTTCCAACAACATTTATTCCTACAACTTCTGGAAGAGTCATAGAAATAGGCAATCCTAACATTGTTGCTTCTGCTTCTATTCCTCCTACTCCCCATCCTAATATTCCCAATCCATTGATCATAGTAGTATGAGAATCTGTTCCCACAAGACTATCTGGATATAATAAATTGTTTTTTTTAAATACACAATGAGCCAAGTATTCCAAATTTATTTGATGGACTATACCTGATCCAGGTGGTAATATTAATACATTTTGAAATGAATTCATACCCCATTTGAGAAATTTAAATCTTTCTAAATTCCTTTCAAATTCTTTTTTTTCGTTTAATTCTAAAGCCTTATGACTTCTACTATAATCTACTTGGACTGAATGATCAATAACTAAATCTACAGGTATTAAAGGATTTATACTATCTGCATCCCCACCTAATAATTCAGCTGTATCTCTCATAGTTGCCAAATCAACTAAACATGGTACACCTGTAAAGTCTTGTAATAAAACCCTTGCAGGCATAAACGGAATTTCCTTTTTTTTCTTGCAGTTGTCCTTCCATGATAATATTGTTTCTATATTTGATTCTGTTACCTTTAAATTATCACAATTTCGCACAGCGGATTCTAGTAATATCCTAATGGAATATGGTAAATTTTTTATTCTACTATCATTTAACTCATTTAAATCATAATAAAAATATCCAGTTTTGTTTAATTTTTTATATGTTTTATCAAAAGGATTTGTTTTGCTACAATATTTTCTTACATAATTCTTTAAATTAATGTTAATATTCTTCATATTTTTCTAATTATTATTTGAGCGCTTCTTTTTCTGAAATATATATTTTTTAGGCCTTTTAGATTGTTTATTAGTATTTCATTAATATTTTTCTTAATATTTTACTTCCTTTTTATTATATTAATTTCTGTTCATATATTTATATTTATTATCGTTTATCTAATTTTTTTTTATCCAGAATTTTTTTTTTTTAAAAATTCGGTAGTTTATATTCATAAGTATTTTTAATATAATATATAAGAGAGAATAAAAAAAAAAAAAAAAAAAAAAGAAAACTGAAAAAATAAATAAAATGAAAATAGAAAAAAAAATTTTAATTTTACAAATTATTGTGTTTGTAAAATATATGTTTATATTTTTTTTTTTTTTTTTTGTAAATTATTTAAATAACAAATGATATATTGTGATCGTTATTTCTAGGTTTTATATTTTTTTATACTAAAATTTTAAAAAAATAAATAAAATATATACGTTTATTTACATATATACTATTTTTTTTAATATAAAAAATTTTCAAAAATTAATATTTTAAATAATAATATTGTTTCAATAATTTTTTCATAACCAATTATATAAAAAAAAACAGAATTTCATAATTATTAAATTAAAAAAAAATACAGAAATATCTGTTTTACACTAGCGAAGTACCAAAATAAATATATATTATGAAAATATATTAAAGGAAAAAAAAAGAAACAAAAATGGAATAATAATCCTATTTAAGTAATAAATAAATAAAATCGAAAAAAAAAAAAAAGCTTGTAGTATTTTTAAAGATATATAATTTTTATAGTTGTTAACAAAGAAAAATAATTTTTATAAAATTTTTTTTTAACACAATGAGATATAAAGGATTTATTCCATTTTTTATAATATTTCCCATCTAAAATAAAATATATTATGAAATTAAATAAAATTATAGAAAATAATAAATCCATTATTCAAATTTTTTTACATTATTAACAAGTTAAGTATATAACACGTTATATCATAAAAAGGCATTTTTTGTTAATACTGTTTGGGAGATGTTGAGTTACATAAAAAAAAAATTCGCTAAAAAACAAATGCTATTTTTAGAATCTCGGTTTATTTATACATTTTATTTATTCAAAGTATATTAAATTAGCAATTTAATAAATAGTTTAAGTCTTATGTAATTTTTTTTTAAATGAGAAAAATAACATTTTTGCATTTTAATAAACAATTCTTATAATAAATAAATGTATAAACTTATATGTTAATAATAGTTTTTTTAAAATGACTAGCAAAAGTATATGTGTTAAATTAAAAAAAATATATAATTCTATTATTATATATGTATGTTTTATTTAAAAATAATTTAAAACGTCAATATAATATATTTCGTTATTTTTTATAACTTATGAAAATATAACTTAATTTGAAAAAAAAAGCGAGTTATATATATGTAAGTATTGTAAAATAATGCCTTTATTCAAAATATAAGAAAAACTAAATATATTAATATTTTCTTATTTCTATGTTTTAAATAGAACTTCGTTATTAACTAGATATATTGTCAGAAATTCATTTAATTATTTGATACACTAAGACATCTCTAATGAATTTGTAAATAATAAAAATTACATAATAAATAATGATATATTTATAAATAACAGATATGCCATAGAAAATAGTTATATAAATAATTGTTTCTTTATTTTGAACATTAACTGTTCTTATAAATAAGATAATTGTAAAATACAAACTTAAAACATCTTTAAGGGTGATATTTTTTTTGTTTTTATTTTCTATTTTTAAAGAATTATTAAAATAAGAAAAAAACAATGAGTTTTATTAATCTATAAAAAAATATTTTAACATTTAAAGATAATTTTATACCTTTTCTAAAAGTAAAATTTACATTTATCATACACTGTTGATTTAGAAATATTTGTATGCATACAATGTATTTAATAAAAATACATAAAGTTATAAATTGTATTTATAATTTTATAATTGTATCTTTTAGAATTTTTTATTATCTTATTAATTTTAAATTTAAAAAAAAAGATACTTTAATTATTTCTAAAGTTTTGTTGTGATGCATTTAGTTAAGAAAATATGTTGTTAAAGGGGGTGTACTGCGATTTCAAATTTTCATTTAACAAAATATTTACATGTAAATGTATCAATTTTGTGATTATTAATATTTTTATAAAATAGTTTTTTTATGTTTTTAATGAAATAAAAAATGAAATAAAATTCAAAATAATAACTATATATAAAATAAAAAAACTGTTTATTTTTCAAATTTGAAAGAATATTTTCTATTTTAATTGTAGAAAAAAAAAAGTATATTTAATAATAAACATCTTTTTTTTAATTTATTAATTGGCATTCTCTTACAAAGATCTTAAAACTATAAAAAAAAATATATGTTTAAATTTATAAAAATTAAACAATTTTTATTATTAGAATATTTAAAAAAAAAAAAAAAAAAAAAGAGCAAAAAAATATACGAACAAAATTTTTAATACGTAAATATGAATAAATTATTTTTTATATGCACAATGAATTAAAAAAAAAAAAACAAAATAAAAAAAAATAAAAATTTAATAACATATTTTTAAAAATCATAGCAGTATTTGAAACAATAAAACTACAAAAATTTATTAAAAAAAAAGGAAATTAAACAATATATATTTAAAAAATTAAATATAAATAGTACATGTTGTTTACATCAAATTTTTTTTTTTTTTACTTTGAATTTATATGTAATGAGTTTTTTTAAATTTTTTGATAAACTTTAAAAAAGAATATTTCCATGAAGTTAAAATTTTATTTTCAAAAAAATATAAAATAAAAAAAAATACATTTTATATTTTATATGTTACTTATATTTTGTTTTTGAATTTTATGTGATATTTCATTAATTTTTTATTTCTTTTATTTTTTTTTTTTTTTTTTAATAAAAAATGAAGTTGAATATTTCGAACCCTTTAAACAATGTACAAAAAAGTATAGAAATTGATGATGAGAAAAAATTATTGCCCTTTATGGAAAAGAGGATAGGAAATGTTGTACCAGGGGATTCAATAGGAGAAGAATTTACTGGATATGTATTTAGAATAACAGGAGGTAATGATAAACAAGGTTTCCCAATGATGCAAGGAGTTTTAACAAATAACCGTGTTAGACTTTTATTTAAAAAAGGTATGAAATGTTATAGACCAAGAAAAAAAGGGGAAAGAAAAAGAAAATCAGTTAGAGGTTGCATTGTGGGACAGGATTTATCTGCTTTAAATTTAACCTTAGTAAAAAAAGGCACGAATGAAATTCCAGGATTAACTGATAAGACCGTTGGTAAAAAATTAGGTCCCAAAAGAGCTAGCAAAATTAGAAAATTATTTAATTTAGATAAAACTGATGATGTTAGAAAATATGTTATTGGTAGATCTGTTACTAAAAATGGAAAAACTAGAATTATTAAACCAAAAATTCAAAGATTGGTTACAGAAAAAAGATTATTTAGAAAAAGAAAATTAATGGAAGCTAAAAAAAAGCGTAAATTAGAAAAATGCAAAGCCCTCAAGGAATACAAACATGTTTTAAAAATGTATAGAAAAAAAATGGCCTCAAAAAAAGAAGAAGAAACAGGTAAAAAGAAAAAAGTTAAAAAGACTATTTCAAAAAAAAATGTGAAGAAAGATGAAAAAAACAGAGACAAAAATGCCAACATAAAAAATAAAGTAAAAACTGAGAATGTGGAAAAAACTGCTATCAAAAAAGACAAAAAAACAGAAAAACCAAAAGGAGATAAGCAAATAAAATCTGAGAATAAAACAAAAATTGAGAAAAAAACAGTTGCAAAAGATCATAAAGAGGGAAATAAAGGAGATAAAAAAAAGAAAAACCAAAAATAAAAAGGAATAAGAATATTTTAAAATTGTCTCATTGATATATGGAGATAAAGGATCATTTTAACGCAAATTTCCAAAAAATATGAAAATATAAATATTATTATATATATATATATATATATATATATAAAATAAAAAAAAAACATTCTGCATAAATATATAATTTTATATTCAATTTTATAACAGTTTTATTTTATTAATTATATCAGTGAATTAAGAATAAAAGTTTTAATAAAATAAGAAATATATAATTTACATTACATATCATTTATTATGTAATATATATATATATATTTTTTTTTTTTTTTTTTTCATTTATAAAAATTGTTCTATAATAATTTATATATATGTAAATTTTTAAAGATTTTCTTAAATATTTAATAAAATTAAAATGCATTTATATATATTTATTTTAAACAGTATTATAAATTAATGGAAAAAAAAAAAATAAAAAAAAATTATATATTGCAAATGCTTATATGATATATAGAAATTAATTAAACTCTCTACATTAAAACGATATATTATTATAGAAAAAAAATTATTATTTTATTTTCTTTTTTCCGACTTTAATTTACCTTAACAAAATATAACCACACGACATTATAATTGAAAATTATAAAAATATTATATTGTATTATAATTAAACTTATTTTTTTTTTCATTTATATACTTTTATAAAAATATAAAAATTTAATAAAATAATTCAATTTTTTATCATCTTAAAATAATTTAAAAATATATTTAGAATAATTTTTTATTATTTAATAATGATAATAATAATAATTTATATACACAAAAATAAAGTTCTGGGGAAAAAAAAATTATTTTTTTTTAAAGTATTTCACAAAGAAAAAAAATTTTTAAAGTTTTTATTCAATAATAATTTACATATTTTCTTTTTTTTATAATTTTTTTTACACTACATATTAATTAGTGAATAAAAATTTACATTCCTCCATGAAATTATTTATTCAGTGTAAGCAGTTCATTAAAATCTCATGTAATAAAAATTAAAAATAATGAATAATTTTTAATTCTTAAATTTATATTTTTATTCAGTTGGATTTAATTTTATTAAATATTTATTTTGAGCAATTATTACTTTCCATTATAATTATTTATGTACTTTCATATTAAAACATTAAAAAGATTCATGAATTTAATAAAATAATGTATATATATATATATATATAATATAATATAATTTTTTTTAAGCAAAAAAAAAAAAAATTTAAGCATAATTTAATAAACGTATAAAGAAAAAGATGGTAATGGAGTGAAATTTAGTAATATCTACATATTTTTGAAACAAAAATATCTGAATATTTAATATTCAATTAAAGAAAATTAAGCAAATTACTACACAATTCAAAAATTATCAGATAAAAATAAAATATATATATATTTTAATATAAAAGTCTTCAATTATTAACACTTTTTTTTTTTACAATTATCAATATACTTTTTTAACCGTTATCCTTATTTTTATGTGTAAAAAAATTATTAACTATAAATTATATTTTACACATTTAACCATATATTAAGATTTCAGTGGCTAATAATAAAATTTTTTTCCTTTTTTTTGTTAAAAAAATGTAATTTTATCGTAAATTTTATTTATTATAGATACATATTTTTTTATTTATAATGTTTAAAATATAAAAGTTTTAAATAGAGTATTTATATTTTTTTATATTAATTTTATTTATATATATATATCAATAATTTTTTTGTAATTTATGTAAAATTTATTTTTCATAAAATTAAAGTTTTATTGAAATGTTGTATGATATTGATAGGAATATGTTTCTTTATTCTGTTATTTTATTTCAGATTAACAAACATTAATTTTTTGAAGTTATTTTTTTCAATTATATTGTTATTACTATTATAAAAATATTATTATCATTATAGTTGTTAATAATATTAATATTACTATATAATTACTTTTATTGTTACTACTGTTATTATCTCTTTTTTTTTTTTTTTTTTTTTTTTGACACAATCATTAGAGTAAAATTGAAATTCTCATGAATTTATTAATTCAGAAGAAAAAATATAAATTTTCATATTTTTTTTAAAATGGGGGCTTTAGACGAATCTACACCAGTACCTTCTAGAATGTTATAAAAAAATTTCATTAATTTTGATAAATATTATATGTATTTGTTATATATGTATATGCATAATATGTGAAATTTGTAATTTCTTAACATATTTGGAACAACCTTATAAATATTAATTATTGTTTTATTTAAAATTTCATATTAAATAAAGAATGAATATTAATTTTATTTTTAATTATATATTTGTAAAGAAAATTTCTTTAATCCATTTATAATTGTATGATTATAATTTATTTATTTATTTTTTATTAAATTATACTTACATAAATATGTATTATTATTACAAAGAAGAAAGTAGTATATATATATATATATATATATATAATTTGTATTTTTTTTTGAATTATTTATAATAGAACTCTGCAATTGATGAAACAAAAAAAAAAAAGTGCTTTCCAAGGTTATTCTTTGTTGAAAAAAAAAAGTGATGCTTTATTTATTCACTTTAGAGATGTGTTAAAAGATATTGTTAAGGTACAAATAAAATTGAAAATTTTTTTTTAATATAATATCAAATATTTTGTATATATATATATATATTTTTTAAACAAAATTTTAAAACTAGACAAAAGTAAAAGTTGGTGAAGAAATGAGAAACGCTTCCTTTGCTTTAGCTAAGGCCGTATGGGCTGCTGGAGACTTTAAAGGGCAAATTATTGAAGGAATTAAAAGACCAGCTGTGACATTATCCTTATCTACTAACAATGTAGCTGGTGTTAAATTACCTATATTTCAAGTGCAAATAGACCCTACTGTTGATGTTTTAGGAAACTTAGGTGTTGCTTCAGGAGGGCAAGTTATTAACAATACTAGAGAAAATTATCTTCAATGTTTAAATATGTTAGTCAAGCTGGCATCTATGCAAGTACGTAAAAAAAAAAAGAGAAAAAATAAGAATTTATGTAACAATAATTACCAATTAGTTGTTTATTCATATTTTATTTATTTAAAATGCTATATATTTATTCTTTTTTTTACGCATCTTTACTATATTTAATATCATCTTATTCTTTACACCTTTTTCATTATGTTATATATATTTTTTTTCTTTCTTAATGAAATTCAAAAGCATTTTTATTAATTGATATGTTTTTGTTAATTTCTAACCCTTTTATTTTTTTTTATTTATTTTACTTATTTAAATGAGTTTTAACTATAAGTAATTTATCAAATATTAAGCAATTATTTTTATATATTTTTTGTACTGAAGGATTTTCATAGAAATAAATATGCATTATATATTTAACAATGTTTTTTTTATTTAAAAATTAAAAATAATATATATTATTATGACATAGGTAGCCTTTTTTTCACTTGATGAAGAAATAAAAATGACTAATAGAAGAGTTAATGCTTTAAACAATGTTGGGAAAAAAAAATAACATTTTTTTTTTTTATAATTTAACTTTAAATAACAAAAAATTTACATTTTTTCGAAACTTTACTTAGATTGTTCTCCCTCGATTAGACGGAGGTATAAATTACATTATAAAAGAATTGGATGAAATAGAAAGAGAAGAATTTTATAGGTATGAAAAAGCAAAATTATAGAGTATTATCATAATATTAATAAAAATCAAATATTTTTATTGCTAATATTATCCTTCATTTTCTTAATTTTTAGGCTGAAGAAAATAAAAGAAAAAAAAATAGACAAATTAAAGGATTCAAATATAGAATATACAATGGATGGTAATGCATTTAAAAGTTAAAATTTTTTTTTTTTTTTTACATACTCCTAAACCATATTTTTTACATATTTTTTATACACAGATAATTACAATAACGTAAAAAGAAATGATGAATTCATATGTGCACAAATGGATGATGATGTTATATTTTAAATTTTTTTAATCATATATTTTTTGTATCTTTATATTCTTTATATTTCGTGATTTATTATAAATATTTAAAAAAAATAAAGTAATAATTCTTTATTTTTCATACATAAATGTTATTGAAAATTAAAAGGCTCATTATAAAACTATTTATTATTTTAAAAATATAATATATTTTAACTATTTTAAAGTTCTTTGATTTTAGTATATACATGGTACTAATAGTCATAAGAAAAGAAATATAAATATAATAATTAAATAAGACAAAATTTTAACATATATTATTTTTCCAAATGATATATATTGATATAAATAAATAATTAAAATTTATTTAAATTTACGTGAGTTATAAATAATAACATAAACATTACATCATTGAGTCAATTAAGGTGAAAATAAGATATCAACATTTTCGAAAATAATTTATAAAATTAATGTGTAATCATGAAGTTTATGTATTGTTAAAATTATACAACTTTCAAGTTTAATTTTAAGTAACTTTTTCTTTTCTTAACTATACATTAAATTCATGCACTGAACAAGCATTTTATAAACAAACTATTTTTACTATTTTTTTTTTATTTTATATCCAATTATATGAGATTTTAAATAATAAATATTCTTAAAAAGAAATTAATGTTACTTTTGATTTATTGGTGGCAAATATGATTAAATATTGTCTAATAATATTGGATTACTTCATGTTTTTCAATAATTTTGAAATAAAAATAAGTAATAAGTATACATACAGAAAAATTATATATTTTTTATTTTCAAATGTAAAATAATTGGAACATTACACCTTATTTTATTTTTTTTTTTTTGTGTTTTATTATTAAATGTATTTTGCTTGTGGTTAATTAAACTGTCTCTATAGAATAACGATCCTATCTAATTTGCTTTTTCATTATAGAGAAATAAAAAATGTAATATATTGTCAAAATAAAATATCTGTTCAATAATTACGGTAAATAATTTTTTTTCTAATGAAATACTTTTATCACATATCATAAAATTCTACAAAACAGTTGTAAATTTTATGCACATGTAATATTTTTTAGTTTTTTTTTTTTTTTTTTTTTTTTTTTTTGGAATAAATTGACATATAATTCTTAATGTTACTTCAGTTGAGTTCTGACTGTGCACACATTTAAATAAAACACATTTTACACACAAACAATTGCAAAAATATATTTTCTTAATAATATTAATTTTTTAGTAGGAATAAGTTTATAGTATAACAAATAAATTAAAATATCCCTACCTACATCATACATAAATATATGTACATATTTTAAATTAAAATATTAGGGAAAATTTTCTTATTTAAATCACTTTTCATTGGATAGACACTTCTAATGTTTTTTTTTTTTTTTTTTTTTTTTTTTTTTTTTTTTTTTAATTTTCTGCGAAAAAAAATAAATATTGATATAAATAAAAAATACATTTTCCTTTTTTAAAAAAAAAATTAACCTATAGATATTTGTTCTTTCGTAATATAAATATATATATATATATATATATATATATATGTATATTTTTTCTTTTCCTTTTTTTAAAACCTTAACCTTTTTTTTTTTTCATCATCACATTGCTTAGCATTTTTTAAATTCATTTTTACTTTTATTAAATTAATATTTTATTATTTAAGTTATATAAAATATTTTTATAGTTATTAATTTTATAAGTTTTAATTAAGTGATTCCATAGAAAAAAAAAATAAAAAACACACATTTACACACGTAAATTTACATGCAAATGGAAGATAGTTCAGATGCAAATTATGATCCAAATAAGGAAATAAACAGTATGGCAAGTAGAAATGAAAATGAAATTTTAAATATAAATGAGTATGAAAATAAAAGCGGAAATGGAAGTAGAAATGAAAGTATTAATGGAAGTAAAAATGAAAGTATAAACGGAAATAGAAATGAAAGTATAAATGGAAGTAGAATTGAAAGTAAAAAAGGAAGTAAAAATGGAAGCAAAAATGGAAGTAAAAACGAAAATGAAAATGATTCGAACTTCGAGAGTGAAAATAATATAGAATTCAAAGGCGCTAAGTATATTCCTGATTTACATGGATTAGGTAAAGAAAGGCAAGCAATAACCCCTAAAGTACAAGAAATAGGAATTCCGGGACAAGTAACACCTTATCATGAACCATATGATGAATTAAATTCTGAGGAAGCAACTGTATATGATGAAAATGGGCTTCCTATTACAAATAACTCAAATAATACTAAAGATGAAAAAAAATTATGGTCTTGGACAAATGATGGAAAATTAAAATTATCCTGCTCACAACCAATAATTCCAGTGTCAGTTGTACAAGGAATATTAAGAAGAGATAAAATTATTTTAATACCACAAGTAGAAGTTACTGATGTTGTTGTTCCAAAAATTTATAATCAAAATATTAAGCACGATATACCAAAATTGGACATAAAGGTAGAAGATACTCGTGTAAAAATACCAAATGTTAAATATGTTGATAAAGAAATAATTATTCCTATTATTACTGGATATACTCATAAATTTGTTCCAAAATGGGAAGTACATGAAGTACCAAGACCTATTGTTAAATACATTGGAGAACAAAAAATTGTAGAAGTTGAAGTTCCAGAAATAAAGTATGTAGATAAAATAGTGGAAAGAGAAGTAGTTGTTGATACTGTGGAAAAAAGAGTCCCCAAAATTATAGAAATACCAAAATATGTTGATGAAGTTCAATATGTATGGAAACCAATTGAAAAAATAGTTTATATACAAAAACTTGTCCCTAAATTTGATGTTAATTTAGAATGTCCTCCACCTTTAATTGTTCCCTATCCAGTACAAATAGTTAAACAAATACCACCTGTAATGGTTAAAAAAGACACAATGATTCCAGAATATCAACATTATGATTTAAATTCACCAGAAGAGTCTGTACCTATTCCTGAAGAGTATATCAAACATTATTCAAAAAAACAAAAGTTTCCAAAAGTATGCTTTTCATCTTGTTGTGAATCAAATGTTAAAAATAAGGAAAATGAAAATGAATACATTGATGTATTTCCAAGTTATATTAAAATGGACTCTACATCGTTTGACAACATATTAAATGAACCAAGTTATTCAAAATCTCTTATAAATGACACTAAAAATATTTTAAATGAAAGTGAGCAACAAGTTGGTGTAATTGCTTAAAAAAAAGATTAGTTTAAAGTTGTAACTACTTATATATATGCACGTAATTTTATATTCTCATTATTTATTGACATTTTTGTTTTTTTATCCATTTTAATTCATTTTTTAAAGTATATTAAATTAATCATTATTTTATTTCTTAAAAAAAATTAATTGTAAAAACACATTTTTACATTTATTATTATAGAAAGTAATAAATTTATTTCTATTATGTTTAATATGCATTACGTAAATTTCATTACAATTTTTTATTTTTTTAATTAAAGTCACTTTTTTTATTTATATAAGTATAATATTTTACTATTTGTAAATTTTCTTAATTATACACTTGTTCTTATATATATATAGAATAAAACATTTTACACATTCATAAAATATGTTAATTAAATGAACGTTTTGAATGAAAATATTTAATTAAAAAAAATATTAAATTTATAATATTTCTTTTTTTTTTTTTTTATTTTTGTTTATTTTTTGTTTTTTATTATTTGTTCTTTGTTCTTTGTTTTTTGTTCTTTGTTTTGTTTTCCCTTTTTTCTTCCATTTTTGTTTATTTTTAAAACAATTATTTTAACAACTACATCCTTTTTATATTTTTTTTTCCTTTTTTTTTTTTTTTTAATATCCTTCTTATTATTAATTGTATATAGTTTTAAAAAAAAAAATTTATGAATGTATCGAAAATTAATCATTTTAAATTTAAAATAAAAAAAAAATAATAATAAAAATTATGCTGCTGATTACTAACAAAACCCTTTTTATGATTTTGTTGTCATTCTCAATTGATTCCCTGTTATATTTTTTCAATAAATATTTTAACTCTGTAAAAATAAAACATATAATTTCTTTTATTTAAACTAAAAAAAAAAAAAAAAAAAATGTAACTTTTTTATTTCTACAAATAATGTAAAAATTAAAAATTATTTTTTGTTAATAAAATTAGTAATATAATTAACTTTCATTTTCTTTTTCAATGTCTTTTAGTTTCTGTTGTAGTTGAACTATAAAGAAAAATAGTTTATAATTACATTCTTTATTAAAACTTATTTCTTCCTCATTAATTTTATTCATTTGTCTATAAAAAATATTTATAATACAAACATATAAATTACAAAGATATAACTTGGAATATAAATAAAATTTAGTATTTTATTCAAAATATGTATATATAAATATATTTTATTATATTTTATTCCATTATATTGTATTATATTCTATTATATTGCATTATATTAAATTACGTTATTTTATGTAATATATTATTTCCTATTAACTTTTTTGATATTTTTTATTATAATAAAGGATATTTCTGAGAGATTGTATATTTTATTATATTATTTAAATACAAATATTAATTTTTTCTTTTATTTTATTTTAACCTCGTTTTACTTAAATAATTTAATTCTTTAACTACGTTATTATTTAATTTAGAATAATATAATGGATACATATCCATTTTTTCTTTTTTTTTTAGACAAATAACATTAATATTTTTTATATATTATGCTTTTTATTATTTTTTATAATTTATAGTTTAACAGACATTAAAATATTTTTATATTTCCTACTTGAAGTGTTCGCTTTATTTCTCGAAGATAAAAAATATTTCACAATGTAGACCGCTTAAATAAAAAAAATAAGATAAAAAATATTCTTATGAAATATCATATAAAGAATTTTTTATATTTATAAACCAAAAGATTATACGTTAAAATAATTTTTAGAAATAGTTTATTTCAATTTAATTAATTAATAATCTTAAATGTATTTTTAAGAAATCACGTAAAAATTTATAAAATATATTATTGTTATTGTGACACTAATTTTTAGTGGATTTAAATTTACTTCAATTAATTTTTTTTTTTTTATAAAAAAAAATGGAAAAAAAAAAAAAATGTGCAGGTATATATATTATCGAAATAATTCATTCATTTAGTATCTAATACATTACAACATAAATTAATAAATTAAATATACATAATTATTTTAATTTTTAATTATAAATGAAAGATACGTATTATAGACATATTTAGGTATATACAGAATAAATTTTTGCTTATTTAAAAATTACCTACAAAAATATTATAAGTTTATACAAAAATAAAAAATTTATTTTATTTAAAAAAAAATATGTTATAAAAAAATTTAGGGATACAATTATTCACTTATATTAAATAAATTATATGAATATAAATTAATTTTAATGAAAAGAATTTATTTAATATCATAATTCTTTTTCATTATAATTTTTTGTAATTCAAAAAAAAAAAAAAAATATGATGAAACAAACTCTTTTTCAGTAAATTCCTACTCTAAGAGGAATAATATTTAACTAATGGAATATTTTTTAAAAATATAATGATTAACTACAACTATTTTTTTATTTTCGTTTATTAAAAAATAAGAAAAAAAAGGATTTCCTTCAAGATGATAATTAAATTCTTTTAAAAAATTTGTTAAGTATGGTAAGTTAATTGAATTTGTGACTATATAAAGAGGAAGCTCTCCATTTAATGGAAATGAATAACGATAATCTAAACAAGAAAAATTTATGATATTATATGAAAATTGAAAATTCTGTTTAGGATTGAAGTTGTGATAGCCAAACCAATAGAATGATTTTTCTGGAATTATATATGGAGAAATAGAATTAGAAGTATTTTTGTTTACATCAAATAAATCATAAAATGTTTTACCAAATTTATCATCGTATATAATTTTTCTCCAATTATTTATAAGCATACCGTTTTTTATTATAGGAGAACAATCAAGAAATCCAATTTTAAATTTTCTATGTATATGAGAGTATAATGGGATATCATAACAATCTGTTATAAATATAGAAATATTATTATCATTATTTGTTTTTAAATTTCTAAAGTAAGCTGACACTTTTTCAGGAGAACGATTATGAATATAGCTAAAAAAAAATATACATATTAAATGAATAAAAAAACTTACATTTAAATAGAAGAAAAACTTTTTTCTTTTATCAGTTTGTTCTGAATTTTCTATATTTCTTATAGTTTTATGCAACATTAGCCCTGTTAATATAGTCAAAAAAGGAAGGTACCCAATTACAAGTTTATGCTCTTTATGAATACTAAATGATAGAAATAAAACTTCTACAAATGTTGCAATATATGTAACATAATCTATTCTTGATAATACATAAAATAATTTTTTTTTTTTTTTTTTTAATTTTTTGTAAAAAAAAATAAAACTATAGTAAGTAAAAGGTGTTAGAGTTAAATAAATTGATGGTATAACAGAAGAAAAATAAAAATGAAAGGGATGCTTTCCAAAAAAAGAATTTTGACTACTAATAAAATTAAATAAAAGGAAATTAATAAATGAAACAGTTATTTTTCCATAATAGTACGAGTCTATCGCTATGGAAATTGATAAAAATATAACAGCATAAGAAGTCCCAATGAAAAAAACTTCTTTATAATCCAAAATATACTTATTATTAGCTGATTTTATAAAATAAAGGATATATATGCATAACCAAAACAGTGCTGCATTTGGCCTAAATAGTACACAAAAAGAACTAAACAATAAACTTAATATTAAATTTTTAATATGAAAATATTTTATTTCATTTAATTCCTTTATATCAACACTAAGATTAGAACTTTTGTTATGCATAGATAATTTTTCATTTCTTGGAAGGTCCTTATTTTTACTTTCTTCGTAAATCTTATTTGTGTTGTTATCACATGAAGTGTCGTTTCTACCTTCACTGATTAAAAAATCTTTATTTTCTGTGATATCTTTTCTTTTTTTTAAATCACTATTTGTGTTATTTTTTGGAATTTTTTCTTCCCTTAAATCGAAAAATTTTACTATTTGCAAACTTTTTTTTACTTTATAGTTACTATTATTACTTATGTTCTTGTCTTTTTCCTTTAAAGGGTAATAATTTTTTGATAAAAAATAGATACCCCATATATTAAATAAACATTCAAATGAAAGAGACGATGTTCTACAAATGCAGTAGAAATAAAACCAACAAAAAAAATGGCAAATTAAAATTGTAAATATTGCATTATCATCACTTTTCATATTATTTTTTTTATATAATACCAAATACCAAAGTTTAATCAATTTCATTAAGCCATAATCACCAAGTGCTGCACATAACCCTTGAAAAATTTTAGGTGCATATAAAACAGCAATAGGGTAATCTAATTTAGTAATTTTCAAAATATAAAATAATATTGCGTATAAAAAAGGGTGAATAACTGATCTTAAAGATATACAAGGTTCCCACTCCCAGGGCATGTGACCATAGCCAAAAACCCAATAATGGGAAATTTCTATTGATTGAGCATATTCATCAGGGAAAAATGAAGTTACAACAAATAAAGAATTAAATAATCTAAGAGCAATGAGGAAAATAAGGCACTTTTTAGAATGTTCTAACTTTTTTAATATGAGTTTACTATATTTAATAAAATCAAATGAAAGCATCTTATATATAAAATAACAAATGTAATAATAATTTTACTTTAATTACATTTATTTACATATAATTTGAGTTTTGGAATATAAAAATACAAAAAATAAATAATAATGAAAATCCTTTTTTACTAATAATATTAATGTAAAGATAAATCTCTATATTTACTACTTAAATAATATTTTTAATATTTAAAAAAAATTTTTTCAATTACTGTTTTAATTTTTTTTTTTTTTGCTCATGAGTCTTAGGTAACTTGAATACTTTATGTAGTTTCTTTTTTTTTGATAATTTTTACGTGCAAACAATTGAATTAAAAGTTTTACTTCTGCTAACATTAATAATTTAATTTTAAGTTCTTAATTATTAATAAAAATTATTTTCTTATATAAGTTTTTATTTTTATATATTTCATTTTAAAAAATCTTCTCTATGAGAATTAAAAATTGAGAATTTTTACTATAAGTAATTAAAATAATGTGTTATTTATTTTTTGTTTTTTTAACATATTTTTCAGTCCACGGATTTATATTGATAAAATAATTTTAAATATCAACATTACATATTCTTTGGTAATAACAAAATTCTTATTAAAATGTTTAAAAAAAAGAAATTATATAAAATGCTACAACATTATTTATGAAACTTTTTTTTGCTACAAAAAAAAAAAAAAAAAAAAAAAAAATACACATTATATTCTGTAAAATAAAAAATAATGTGAAATTAATATAAAAATACTTAAGCATATATATAAATATATGAATATTAATTATTTAAAAGGATACACAATTGTACTTTTGCTGTTAAAATTAAAAAAAAATAGTAAAAATAATAATAAATTATATTCTAATATTATCTGCTAAGTTATACCACTATAAAAAGAAGTATTTAAAAATATGTATATAAATTATATTTTAAATAACATTTATGGTGTCATTTATTTTGTGATTTACATTTAATAACTAATGCATTGTTCCATTAATATGGATTACGATTAAAATATAATTCAGAATAAGCATGTACAGAATGTAAGGAAATTCGTATATAATTTAAATTAAAATTTTTTCCTTATAATATATATGTATGCAGAATATAATGTAATCATAGAATTATTTAAAATATTTATTTAAAAAAAAGGGGAAAAAAAAGTTATGTAATATATATTATTAAAATTAATGAAATTTAAATTTTTTGAAAAAATGTTAAAAGAAGTTTTTTTAAGGATTTATAAATATATGAAATAAAGAAAAACTATTTTTTTAATAAAATAATATATTCATGTCTTAATTTTTCTTTCAATAACTGCAATTACTGCTGTTTTATTTCATTCATAGGTTTAAATTTGTCGCTAAAATAATCATAATTCCTGTAAGATAATGGTTCATTTAATAAGTTATCTAATATGTTATTTATCCCATCAACAACTACATGTCCAGTTTTTTCAGTTTTAGGAACTATAATTCTTCCGAAGTTTTTTGGTAAGTTTTTATGTTTTTCTAATGTAGTACCGTCTAAAGCACAATTAATTTTATCGAAGAGATTACTTCCTGTTTTCAATGTTGGCCTTTCTTGTCTGGAATAAATTGGATCAGGATTATAAAACGGATATAAATCATATAAATTAGTATTATTATTTTTTTTTATAATCCTAAATGATGATTCCAACACATCTATCATTATATTTACAGCATCATCTAAATAAGTACCCACTGCTAATGTTAATTTTTTAAATACGTCAAACTTTTTTTGGTTTGGGTAATTTACGTATGGTAATTTTGGCCCCTGAATTATATATTCATATTTTGGTGTATATGACTCATTTATATTAGAATTACACACATTCATTGCACGTTTTATTCCCTTTTTTAAGAAAGAACAATTATCTTTATCCTCTGCTAAATAATAAAGATGCGGAGGCATATGTTTGAAATAATTATAATTTATATAGGGAGAAGTATTTTCATAACTTGAAAGTGTTGGTTTACATAAGTAATTTAGTTCATTATTATGTAAAGGCGAATATGAACTCATTCTTCCATAAAATGGATTTATATCAGAATATGGATTTAAATGACATGAATCAGTGAAAGGAGGATTTTGATGAATGTTAGCTCTCCTTGTATATAAAGGAGAGGTTGTATGTTCTGGAGAAATTAATTGTGAATTTTCTACCAAATTGTATGGTACATTACACGCATCAGGAATGTTATTTGAAGGAGTTTGCACATTTAGATAATCATAATTCTCAGAATTTATAGGGTAATTCATGTTCCAGGCAGTGTTTGCATCAAAATTATAAAAATTACCATTACTACTCCTTAATTTTCTATCAGTTGGTGAGTTGAATTGTTTATAATTATTATTAGGAAAATATAAAATTTTAGTTTGAGGTGATTCATTTAAATATAAGTTATCACAACTTTTTACGGATGTTACATTTTGACCATGGGTAACTTGTCCACTTTTTTTTTCTGGCACACGTAACACATTTGCATCATCATAACTATGATCATTATAAGTAATTTCGTTGTTCGCAGTATTTATTATGGTACTTATGTTTTCAGATACATTATGAACAATGCTTTCTGTATTAATTGAATCTTTTGATAATTTTTCGTCATTTTCATTTACATTTAAGACGTTTTGTGAATTATTTGATTTATCGTAACCTGAATTATTCATTTTTGTAAACTTTATAGTTTTTTACATATAAATATTTTTCATTTGTCCTTAGTTTTTATTATTTAAACATATATATTTATCAAACAATTTTAAAATAAAAAACATAAACTCTTACAAGGTATAATAACCTGAAATATTTATTTTAAAACTTTATAAAAAAAAAAAAAAAAAGAAAAGAAAAAGATTAAAAAAAAGGAAAAAAAAGGAACAAATAAAAAAATATTATAAAAACGAATACTACAAATGGTTTATCAGATTAAATAAATTACAATTACTTTAAAACTTCATAACGATAGAGATAAAGTATATTTTTAAAAATGAAACATAAAAATAATTATGTTATAGTGTCTGTATTAAAAGTCGTTTTTTTTTTTTTTTTTTTTAATATATCGTATAATATATTTTTAGTAAAATTTTTTGTTTAAAAAAAAATGTGCACACCATATCACACACATGAAAAATAAATTTTTTGTTTTTTTTCTGTACAGTCTATAAGTTTTTTTTTTAATTCTTGTGCATTATTAATTTTTACAGCTAAAATTACATATATATATTTTTAAAGATGCTGTCTTTTTTTTTATTCTTCACATAAAACATTTACAGTTAATATTGTCATATAAACAATTTAAAGAAGAAAAAAAAAATTAAATAAAATACGTTTTAAAATATTAACTTAAATATACAGAAAACACGATTTAATTTTCTTTATATTTTTAGACAATTATGCTACATTTACATAAAAAAGGAGTAAAAATACTAATCTTAAAATTTGCATTAAAAAATAGTTGTATTGCTATTTCTATTTTCTTTTTTGAATATTTTTACGAATGACAATATTTTTAATTTTTAATAAATTTTCAAATGAAAATTAAAAAATGTTTTTTAAGTTGAAATGGATACAATGTATTATTATCACCTTGAGGTTCTCTATTCGATAAAAAATATGATTTTTTCTTAAAATTTTTCTATTACTGTAATTTTCTTTCACTGCCTCTTAACACATAATAACTATCGGTTTTTGCTATAATTTCTTTTTTTAAATTTTAAATATGTTATTTATTTTATTTTTTTCTTTTTTCGTTTTTCATTTTTCGTTTTTAGTTAGGTAATTTATTCAACCATTAATTATAATTAATTAAAATAACCTCTTTATAAGATTTAGGTAATTGATTTTTGTAAATCATTAATTTTTTAAAGAAAGTATTAAATAAATTTAAAAACTTAAAGAGTCATATAAAATGAACCACATTGTTAATAATAAATAAAAAAAAAAAAAAAAGAAAACAATTTATATATATCACAGAAAAATGAAATAAGTATTTTATATTTTTATATATACTTCTATAAAGATTAAAAATTAAATTAAGCTTTATATGCTCTTGATTTCCTTCTTCCTCTTGCTTTTTCAAATTTTCTTCCTTTTGAACGAACATAAGGTCTTGCTTTAGATTTTGGAACACCTGGTGCTTTACCAAAATGCTTTTCCGCTGTTCTTGCTTTGGTTGGACCTCTTAAAAGTATGCATCTCTTTCCAGTAGGATATTTCAAAGCTAACTGATCAAAAGTTAAACATTCACCACCAGCATCTAAAATTCTTTTTCTAGCTGTTTCTGTAAATCTTAGAGCACATACTTTTAATTTTTTACAACTAAATAGCCTTTTGTCATCTAAATAAAAAAATGAAAAAAAAAAATAAAATAATGATTAAAACATGGTAAAAATTAAACACATGTATGAAAAACTTCTTTATTTTTTTTTTATATAAAAAAAATTTTAATATAATTTTATATATATATATATATATGAAATAAAAAATCTATTTAATTTATATTTCTATTAGATTTACTAAAAATTTCAAATTATATAATATGCAAATCAAAATCATTGAATACAAATTTATTATGAAAATGATAAGATTATGTTTTTTAAAATTAGTAAACAATCAAAAAAAAAAATAAAATAAATTTTATATTTTCTTGTATAATCAAAGGGTGAAAAAATAACAAAATTTTATAGATTTTTAACAAATATCATCAGAACGTTCTACCATCTCCATTAATAATGTCAGAAGACCGTCGTGATTCGTAGAAACTTATTCATCATGTATATTTAATTATATATGCATGTATATTATAAAATTAAAAAAAATATTTTATAATAATTGTAATTACCCGTTATTGAACCAACAACAACTGCTACGTTATCCGGATGTCTCATCATATGAGCTTGTAATTTAGATAATGATAATGGGGGTCTAAAACGTTTAGGCATAATAAGCCTTTTAGCTATTATTTTATTAAAATTAGCATTCGTTCTTCTTGCTAAAAATTTATACAATTTCACCAACAACCTCATATATGGGTTTTTTGAAACCAGATATTTTCTTCCATGTTTTTTTATTCTTCCCACATTTTTAAGAGCGATACCCTAACAAAAAAAAAAAATTCATTATTACAAATTTCACTAAGAATATTGTATAATTTTTAATATGCATAAATAATTTGATTGTAAATCACTTTTATGTATATAATTTATTTTATTTTTATTTATAATATTAATATTGTATTCTATGAAATTTATAAAAATGTAATAAAATTTTCATATATTTTTAAATGTGAAAATATACTTACCATATTTTTAAATCAATAATAATAAAAAATGAAATTTTTTAAAAATAATAGATAAAAGTACTGAAGTATAATTAAATAAAAAAGATGATTTTAATTTTTTAATGAATTAATATAATTTTTTTTTAAAATAAAAAAATAATATAAATAAAACAATAAAAAAATTCGTAAAATGATTTAAATCATTTTGTTGTATAATTTTTCTTTGATATGAAATATATACATTTAAAATAAAATACAGAAAAAAATATTTTTGTTGAATAATATATTAATTTATATTTTATTCCATTTACATATAAATGATATAGTTTTTTTTTTTTTTTCAATGCAATAAAAAATTCTATTATAAAAATATACACCCATTAATACATTAATTTCTTCATTGATATAACCCCTTTTATAAATGACTACACGAAAAAAAAATTTGAATAATTGATGTGATTTGACAAATTATTAATTCTTAAATTGTAAAGAAATAAAAAAAGGTAAAATAAGTAAAATATATAAAATAAATAATAGAAGTTTCTGAAGTAAAAATTTTTTTGTATTTTTTGATGGGATGTAAAGTATATATTTTGTTAATATTATTTTTTGTATTATGCGTAATGTTAAAAAAATTGAATACAAAACTTAGCAAAAAATATTTATTTTCATAATTTAATATTAGCAGAACTACGCAAAATAATTTTTTTTTTTTTTAAAACAAGATTAAGAAAAATATTTGCTTTTAATTATAAAATCAAATTGTATACGAACATTTTTTATAAAATCTTTTCTATAAAAATTAAGTAGGAAAAATAATTTTTTCTGTATTTATTTTTATGTTTATTTTAAAATTAATATTATTATAAATTGTTCACTTATATTTATTATTCATCTTTAATTTATTTTATTTGACCCTATGTTTAAAATTTGATTGGAACATAAATTTATTTTATATTATTTTATTCTTATTTTTTTTATTGATCACCTTTTTATATAAATATAATTTAATTTATTTTTTTTTTAGTAATCATATAAACGAAAATGGTTAAAACTATAGATAAATCAGTAACAACAAATGTAAGTTTTTTAAAAAGTGAACAAAATTATAAGATATATAGAATAGTTTTATAGTTTGTGAATGATGTATGTGAATTTTTTATGTTATTATATTTATTATTAGTAAACTTATTTTTAAACAAATATTTTTTTTTTTCCTTATTCTAATGTATGTAATTTCATTTTTAAATTTCATATATGTTGAATTAAATGAATTATAAAATATATGTTTAAATAATTGAAAATTTTTTATTTCTAATTTTTTAATTTTATGTATATATATATATATTTATATATATATTGCTTTTAAATATGCAATTTTTTGTATATTTATATTCTTTCTAACATTTGTTTTTAGATAAAGCAATATCACATAGTTGGTAGAGCTATCCCAACAGAAAAAGATAAAAACCCTAATGTTTATCGAATGTGCATATTTGCAAAAAATGAGACAAATGCAAAATCACGATTTTGGTATTTCATGAAAAAAATAAATAAGTTAAAAAAATCAAATGGTGAAATATTAGCTTGTGAAATAATAAGAGAAAGATTTCCTCTACGTGTAAAAAATTATGGAGTTTTATTAAGATATGATAGTAGAACAGGAACACATAATATGTATAAAGAATTTAGAGATACTACCAAAGAAGGAGCTATTTCTCAGTTATATTCAGAAATGGCCGGAAGGCATAGAGCAAGGGCATCTTCTATTAGTATTATAAGAATATCTGAAATTAGTTCTAATTTAGTTAGGAGACCACATATTAGACAGTTACTAAGGAAAAAGCTAAGATTTCCAGCATTACATTTGCCTACATTGAAAAGAGAATTTAGAAAAAAGTATGCAGCTAAAAGACCATCTACATACAGGATGTAAATGAGAACAATTCAATGAAAAATAATATTTTATTACTCTAATTGTATAAATTCTTTTTTAATAAATAATTAAAAAAAAAAAAGGAGAAACTTGTTTTTTTTTTTAATTTTTTTTTCTTATTTTTATGCCTTCTATTTTATTTTTTTTATATTATCTTTAATTAAACTATAAAACTATTATTTTTAAGGAGTTTAAATATAGTAAAATGAAAGATATATGAATTAATATTCATTATATTTTAAAGTAAAGAAAAATATAAAAAAGTAAAAGTCAAAATTTCATTCATTAATCATAAGTTATAGGTATACCATTTTTAAAACATATGAAATTTATTCTTTGAAAAATAGACTTATAATTTTTACGTCTTATTTATTTTTCATAATTATGTTAAAAACTTTTTCTTAAAGTAATCCTTACGTTTAATGATAATTAGGAACTTCTATTCCCTTAAAATTAAAAACATATTTACATAAATATTGTTTTCTTGGTACCTTACATATTTGAAATTATTATCATTCTAACTTATATATTTAATTTAATAACTCTTTTTCCTTTTTGAAAATATATGATAATTTATTCAATTAAACACATTTCCTTATTCAAAATATGAGAAAAAGAGAATTTATTAGCATATATAAATAATAAATATAACATATATAAAAAATAATTTTTTAAAGTATTCAGAAATTTAAAAATAAACTATTTACTTATATATACATGTATATATATATTTATATATTTTTTTTTTTTTTTTCTATTTAATATTTAATTTGTGAATTTATTACTTTTTTTAAAATTTAATTATATAAACTTTATTATTTTATTTTATTTTATTTTATATTTTTTTTTACAATATATAAACATATTAATTTGTAATTTTTAAAAAAATTTAGTATTTTATGAATGCTGAAGGCAAGAAAAATGCACTGAAATATGAGTAACCATAATAGCTTTTTTTTTTCATATCCCTACATTTTTAGTACAAGGAAGGTAATGGCTCTCTTCGGAGATGCCGTTTGTTAAAATTGGAACGATACAGAGAAGATTAGCATGGCCCCTGCGCAAGGATGACACATGACGTTCGAGAAGGAATGTAATTTTTTTTTTTTTTAACTTTAAAAGAAATTAAAATTAAAAATATTTTACATTAATATTATATTTTTTTATATTAAATATAAATTATATATATATATATATTTTAATTAAACCCATAATTTTTTTTTTATATTTTATGATTAAAAATAAGAGGAACGTAATATATAAATTCATATAGATGACCAAAAGTATATAATCCTTATATTTTATAAAAATACATAATTTTAAATATTTCTGTTATTTTTACACAGAAATTTACATAAATATTTAAAATTTTAAATACAAATAAAGAACATTATATACTAAAAATTCATAGTAAAATAATGAATATGTTTAATATTATAAATAAGGAATATTTTTAATTTTCTTTTGATTATTGAAAAAATATTCTAATACATTTATTTAATGACTTAAATATAAATTTATAAAAAATTTTTATATTTTTTTCCTTAAATAGGAGAAAAATTCCTTAATATATATTTCATTAATTAAAATAATATAAATAAAATACACAAAAAAAAAAGTAAATGCTACTAACAACAAAAAAATGTAACTAAGAAAATACAATTTTTACACTAATTGCCTCATATTTGTATAATCACAAGGTAGAACATAAAAGTTTAAAAAAAAAAGTACTTCTTAATTAATAAGTGTCAAGTAAAACAAATAAATTTAAATGAAAACATAATTTTATTTACGTGAATTTTTGCTTTACATAATTTTTCTCTCTTTTAAAACCTAACTTAAGAATCAGTTTTTCTTCGTTATTTATACCATATAGAACTCGAAATTCTTAAGATAGAAATATATCTAATTGATGTAAAACTATCCACTATTGAAAAATATGAAATAATATATTGAGCTATTTCTAGTATATAATTATAGTGAATGTACCTCTTTACACATTATAATAATATAACTTACTGCCGCTTCGTATTTGCTATTCACATCTTATCTTTGTATTCTTAAACTACTTATAATAAAAAATTTAGAATAAGAAGCTTATTATTTATTACATTATTATCCTTCCTAAAAATACCTAGAATCATCCAGACTTCTTGTATAAAAAGACATTGACTAAAGAATTCTTAAAAAAACTTAATAAAGAACATAGTAGAAATAAATAAGAAACTAAAAGTATGAATTATTGAATTCATGTAATACTCATTATATTTTTAACTTGTAATATAAGCTGCATAAATTTTTCTTTTATATAAATATCTTATGTACCATTTACTCTAACAAAATATATTTATAGAAGAAAAAATACTTATATTTAATGATTGATAATTTAAATATAAAACAAAATGTTGAATTTATTTTTCAATTGTGATAAATTCCTTCTTTTAATTTTTTTTGATATTTCATATAGCATTTACTTAAATATGTTTTATATTTAATATAAATAAAAAGTAATATCATAGTAAATTCATATATTCATGACAATTTATTGATAAAAATAATTGTTTTAATAGCACTATTCTATCATGAAAGGGATATCTAGAAAAAAGGAATATACTTTTAATCTATAATAAAAATCATAAATATAAATTAAATATTAACAATATAAAACTTTTTTAAACATTTGAAAAAAAACTTAAAAGAAGAAAATATTTCCTTTTTATTTTCTAATATATAAGAATAAAATGAAAAATATTTAAAAAAAATATACATCAGGTAAAGCATAAGTTCGAATAATACTTTATTTATAAAAAGTAATAAATATTTGCATATATAAATGAACTAAATGTTAGTTCTATAGAACCTTAACAAGAGGTAATTCGATGAGATAATAATATTGAGGAATTACAATTAAAGTAATTTAAACTTAAAACTAAAATGTTTCTATTTGTGAAATGTATAATTTTTATAATTATTAAATAATAATTTTAAATAACACGTTTTCTGAACCAAAATATTTATTTAAAAAAAAACTTTTATAAAACAAGAAAAAAAAGGATAAGTTATAAGATCTAAAAGATATTAAAAAATTCCTTTAAGGATAAATAATATTATATTAATGTTTCAGTATTATAAAAAAAAAATATAAAGCATAAATTATAAACATTAAATTATAACTACATAATATAAATATTTATATACATATAAATATATAATATATTTTATTTTCTGAAAAGAAAAAATAAAAATTTTCACATGTATTCTTATTCACCATATTATATTTTAATATTAAATATACCCCTGGCGGGGATCGAACCCGCAACCTTTGGATTAGAAGTCCAACGCGCTATCCAATTGCGCCACAGAGGCTTCATTTACAATATTCATATATTAACATATATTTCACATATTAAGAAATACATTAAAAAAAAAAAGCATTTATATATTTATTTATTTTTAACATTTGTTGTTACTTGCCTTTTTATTTTTTTTTTTTTTTTGACGTTTATTTAATATAGATATATTTATTTTAATAATTATTTACATATACTTTTTACATATATTTAGCTATTCTTTTAAATATTTACCTGTGTAGAAATATTTTATAAATTCTATAAATTTAAAAATTTCATATATTTTTTTTAATATTTTATTTCTTTACATGAAAGATTATAAATATAATGATAAAATTATATTTGCTTATAATGATTTTTTTATAATTATTTTTATTGTAATTATACAAAATGTAATCTTTTATATTTCATTAACGTATTATACTGTGTAAATATATACTATATAATTAAAAAAAAATAAAATTTTTTTCTAAAAATAATTTTTATTTTTATCGTTAGAAATTTTATGAAGCTTCATAATTTTTAATGAACATAATTTACTGTAAATTATTAATTTTAATAATAATTTTTTATAAAAATTTAATATTGTTTAAAAGCTTAGATTCTATAAATAAGATAGAAAAAAACATTAATGACACACTTTTATTTTTTTTTTTTTAGTTGTAAACACAATCTAAATAATTAATCCCCAATTGGCTATATAAAGAAAAACTTTTTTTTTACATTCATGTATATACATTTTTGAAAGAACAGTTATAAATATAAAATAATTTTATTAGATAATTTAGGAATTTTAAATAAAACAATTTTTATTAAAAATAAAAATTATTCGCAAAACTTTTTAAAAAATATTTTTTTCTTAAAAAATCATTACCTTGTAAATGATACAACTTAAGCTGTTTAACTATATGCTTACGTAATTTTTACTAAAAGCTTTACATATGGAAAAGAAAAATAATTTTTATATAAAAACATATATATTTTTTCAAAAAGTAAGATCTTGAACTATCTATTCTAGATTAATTTTTCAAAATTCATGAATTCAATGTTATTTGCAAATCTCAGTATATATTTTTGTATCTATTTTTGTTCTTCAAAAAATTCAAAATAAAAAAATAAAATTTTTAATCTTTACTCTTAATGTTTTTTTTTTGTCTGTTTTATCTTTTTTAATCTAAGATAATAAATTACTCTAATTTTTTTATAAACACAAATGGCGTAATAATACAGGAATTTTTCACAGAAACATAAATAAAAAAAAATAAAAATGTATTATTGAAAAATTCGCCAATTTTTCTTAAACTTAAACTGAATAGTGTTTTATATATAAGAATTCTTTTTTTTATTAAAGATCAAGAAAAAAGTTTTGTTATTTTTTTTTTACAATAAAATATAGTATATATATAATATTTTAATTCTTTAAAATACATATAATATATATATATATATATATAAATTTATTTATTTATATATTTATTTATTTATTTATTCATTTATTTATATATAAATGTATAAAAAAAAAAAAAAAAAAATAAAAAAAAAAAAAAAATACAATCCATATTCATTGAAAAACATAATTTTATAGAATATTTAAATCAAATGTGTATTATTTATTGATTTAGTTTAATGTTAAGAAAAAATATAAAGAAAATAATAATAGGTGTCTCTCCCCTCACTCATGAATAAATATAATTAATTAAAAATATAAAAAAAAAAACTATATAAGATAAAATGTTTTAATTTCTTTCATATATATAGCAGTTACAAAAACAAACATAATGAAATGCTCATAATGAGTAAAAAAAAAAAAAAGGATATATGTTTAAATGATATAAAGATGTCTCTCTCAGCATTCATGGATAATTTTTAAATATTTTATATTATACTTAACAATAAAAGCAAATGGATAATACAAATCTATAAATATTTTGTGCATTATACTTATAAAAATTTAATTAAAATAATATAATTATAGAATAAATTAAAAAAAAGAATTTTTTTAATTCAAAAATAATAAACAAAAAAAAATTAAATGAAAATAGGTATATAAATAAGTAAATACATATATTAATAAATTAAACTAATAATAAACAAGTAAAGATAAGAGATTCACTGCTTAAAATTTATATGAAGGACTATATGCTGCAAATGAAAAAATAGCCGCCGTTACACTAGCTGTAAAATAAAAAAAAAAAAAAAAATATAAATATATATATTTACATACGAAATATAACAATGTTATATACTAAACATTACACATGAACAAAATAGCATATATGCAAATGTATTATAAATTTCATAGGTCAAATGTATCATCTAAAATTCATATGAATACAAAATAAAATTACCCGAAAAAAAAACCGTTATTATCCATGATAAAAACACAGTTCTAAACAGTTTTAAATTTACACATGAGGTGTTTAAAAATGATAAAGAAAATTTTTTCTTTTTTATTTTACTAAAATTTTTTTCTTTATCAACATCTATAGAATCATCTAATATTTTCAAGTTTTTTCTTTTATTTGCTGATATTTTGGCTTCAACTAAACCAACACCAATAACACTAGAAACGGCACAATGTGTAGAACTTAATGGGATACCACATATACTAAAAAATAAGACGATTAACCCTGATATTAGTTCCACAGTAAAACCTCTAGAAGGTGTAATTTTAATAAGTTTCATTCCAACAGTTTTAATAACTTTATATCCTAACAAGGATAATCCTAAGGACATAGATAAACCACCAAATAATAAAATATACCACTGAACTTTTATTTTTCCTTTAATTCCATTATTATATGTATTAAATACAGCTGCAAATGGACCAATTGCATTGGCTGTATCATTTGCACTTTGTGCAACTACACCTAAAATTGCACTTATAATTTGTAATGAAGAGAAAACTATTTCTGTTTCTGGATCAAAATTTTCAATTAAAATTTCCGGTAAATTATTATTTTCTAGTGACTTTTTATCGTCTATTATATCATTTTTAAAATTTATTTTCTTTATATTAATAATATTTTGAAAATCTTTTTCGTGATCATCTTTTTTTTTTTCAATAATTTCACTAGGAATACGTGCATTACTTTGTGTTCCCTGTGTTTCATTTGATGCTACTGAATTTAAGCTACTATTTTTTACATTACAAAAATTCCCTTTATCATTTTTTTCTAAATCAATCATTTCATCTCCATAAATTTTTTTTTTTAAGTGATAATCCCTTATTCTATTTCTATATATAACATAAATAATAAATGAACTAACACATGTTAAAAATATTGATATACCTAAGCATATAAATAAAGAATACAAAACATGAGCTGCGCTCCAATCCTGAAGATAACATGGTGAAGAAATTACTATTATATCATCTTTAAGCATTGTACATCTTATATCTAGCACAATTGGGTTTTGAAACACTAAAAATACACTAAAGGGTAAAGTTATTAAAAAAATTAAAAACCAATATGATCTCTTAATAATAGAAAAAGAGTTATTTCGTCTTAGTATTAATATGCGCAATAAAGAAAAAGCCAAAGCTGAACATGTTCCTGCTAATAATGGAGCTGCAAACCATGAAATAACAATACTATGTATTTTCTCCCATTTTATTGACTTTTTATTTCCTGTAGCTAATCCAAAACCCATCAAAGCCCCTATTATACTGTGTGTTGTTGAAACAGGTATACCAGCAAATGTTGCAACAGCCAACCAAACAGTTGCGCCCATTAAGGCGCAACACATACCCAACATTAAAAATTCAGGTGCATCATAAAATACTTCAAAATTTATAATTTTCGAACGTATTGAATCTGTAACAGTTCCACCTAACAAACTTGCTCCTAATGCTTCAAAAAAAAATGCGACTATGATTGCTTTTTTTACTGATATTGCTTTCGATCCAATAGAAGTACTAAATGTATTTGCTATATCATTGGCTCCTGTAACAAATGCCATAAAAAAACATGCTATACCGCTTGTGATGACTAACCATAACATGTCAGGATTTGTAACCATTTGATTTTCTTATTACCTAATTTACAAAAAAAAAAAAAAAAAAAAAAAAAAAAAAAAATTAAAAAAAAAAAAAAAAAATTAAAAAAAAAAAAAAAAAAAAAAAAAAAATAAAAAAAAAATAAAACCTAAAATAAAAATTAAATATGACAAAATTTTGAATAAAATAAAAAAAAATTATAAAAATTAATATGCCTTTGTTATAGCTTTTTTCAATGCTTTTCTTATAATTATACATTTAACTCCTATTTATATGTAAAAAAAAAAAAAAAAAAAAAAATAATAATAATATAAAATAATTTGACAAGGTTAATCTAATTTTTTTAATATATATATAAAAGTGTATTTTATAAATTTACAAATATATCAAGAGGTTATCTGAATTTTTTTATTATATGCAAAAAAAAAAAAAAAAATATATATATATATAATAATATGAATATATAAAAAACCATTTTAAAAAAATAAAACAAATTTATTCT